GAGATGAGCAATTGGCATAATGGTAATCGCCCCGCTGTTAAACATTAAAGTGGTTGATTTAAATTTCGTCATCATAATCATCTCTATTATCTATTTACAATTTTACATAAGTGGAGTATTTAGGATGAATTCAGACCATGATTAACCTTGAATATTTCAGTCAAGTTTCATATATTATTTTTTTTCTATACTTGGGCTTGGCTTGGGTGATTAAAATGATGATTTTTTTTAATTTGTTTATATACACATCGACTAATTTTATCATTAGTCCAGTCAAAGACAGGATATCCACGTCAGAAATAAGATATTCATGAGGGATAAATCTCTCATAACTTAATCTAAGAGATTGTTAAGATTTGAATTTACAAGTCGTCTTTATTATAATTTGAACTATCCTTAGAGTCAAACCATGATTAAAATAATGATTAAATTTGTTTAAAGATAACTCGTACCTAAAGGCACAGTATAACATAAATTGAAAATATCGGATTGACTTATTGAAATATGTCTTTGACAACATTAAAATCACGTCTTTATCTCCCATGTGCCATAAAAATGTAAAGTCTTATGTAATACGTGATGTATGGATAGGAATGAAGCTCAACAACTCTAACAAGTAATTGTTTGAACATGACTTATTTATTAAACGTATTTTAAAATTAAGCTCGAGCTTGACTAGTTTATAAATAAACTACGTTAAACTAACTTTGAGTTGATCCCATATTATTCATTAATAGTCCAATCAAAGCACACATCATATTGACATCTAATTAGAAAGTATGAATTATAACAACTATTGATAAAAAATAATCTAATTTATTAGTAGTTCTAAGTTGATGAATTCAAGTATAACGGCAACATTACGTTGTTATTGTTATATGATTCTACCAAGAACCTATGGACGATTCTGTTGGGGGCGACGATTTTGCCATTATATCTCTGGAACTCTTTTACCCCGCCCTTCCATCAAGATTCTATAAACCATAAACCCAAAAAACCATCATTTCTAAGAACGGCATTTCACTGCAGCTTTTGATAACTTGAATTCCCCTTCTTTCTTTGTCTGATTCGATGAGGAGATCTCATTGAGTTTTTATGTTTTCATGTGTACAACTCAATTCATCCGATTGTTATAGGGATGAACCCAATTCGAAATATGAACCATTATGTATTGTGACTCTGTTCTGAGCAGCAACGGAATTGAGAAACAACAGCATAATTGAAATTCCAATTATTCCAAAACAATCTCAAATGCACAGAGAAACAGCAGTATTTTCGACACCACTGCTTGGACTTGGAGCATACACTACAGGAAACTACTTTTTTTTTTGAATAACCTAGGAAGACCACCAACCGAACCCATTTGGACTCATGTCCGGTAGTTAATTTGAACCCACATCCAAAGTCTCTTCTCCACGAACAGAAGTTAAATCTAGGAGATGTGGGTCTAGAGAACATTTTCACTTTATAGAGTATCAAATTTTTAACTAATATCAGTTTAAGACATCTATCAAGTGGTTGACTATTACTTGAACTAATCCCTTAGTGTTAACTACTTGATTCTATAGAATTATACGAAAATATAAATCACACTACCATAAAATAGTCGACAAGAAGTCGAAAAAATAATACAGAAAAACAGCATGGAAAAGCAAGCATCATATATTCAATGTTAACCATCAAGCTCCACGTAATGCTCAATTATCACTTGAAAAGAAAGGGAAGGGTAGCCCATGTACGGTGATTAAACCTAAGAAGAAAAAAGTAATACATTGAGAGTCGAGTTTATGCCTATTTTAATTAATTTTTTTTAATTTAATAAAAAATAAATTATTTAAAATTAAGATATTAATAAAGAATAAATTTTTAATTATTTTTTGAGTTTTATTGCTATCATCCCATCCCATCCCATCCCATCCTCCTACTCACTTCTTTGCTGTTGACAGCCACCACTAGTCACCATCACCCCTCTCTACACCAACAACCGCAATCACTAATCATCCTCACTATCATTTTACCTTTGTCTGCATCTCCACATATGTACGTGTGCATCTAGGGGTATTTTAATAATTGTAATATAAATTAACTTGTTATTATCGCCCGTGTTAGAAAATACGAAGAAATATAATATTCGAATGTTTAAAAAACTAATTTTGCTACACCAAATTATAATTTTTTATTTTTTTTGTTTCTTTGACTACATCATTTTAAATTAATTTTTGCCTATTATTTTCTTAAAAATAATATCAAAATTTTCTCAAAATATATAATTCGATAAATTTTTTTTAACATATATACACTATCGTATATGAATAATATATAAAATAAAATTTATGTTAAACTATAAATTAATTAAATATTAAATAATTGAAAATATAACAAAATTGAGTAAAATGATATTTTTAGGAAGAAAACATATATGAGATAAAGATTCAAGTCACAAACTAATTTATTATATAGATATTTTTGATTTCCATCAAAACATATGTTTTTATAGTTTATTTTTTATTTAAGTATTTTTTTTATGAACATCTAAATGATATTTATTCAATAAATATTTTTTGTAAACCAACCAAACACATTTTTTATAAAAGTATCTTCTTGTGAAAATCCAAAGTAATTATTTAATGTATCCAAAATTTACTCATGGAGGAATGGATCTAAAGTGGTCCAATCTTAGTGAAGTTTCTCGTTACCCAAAAAAAGAGTGTTAAAAAGTGTTGTGGCTATCTCACATCGGATAGTTTTAAGGAATATGTGTGTGTTTATATGTCTACTATGACTCTCACACTATTAACGTGAGTGGTTGTAGTTTGATCCAAAAAAAAAAAAAATTAGAGTCTAATGGGGCCCTTCCTCAGTGAGACAAGTGCCTTTAGGGCCACTGTGTCTGGGACAGTAGAAGCTGGGACTATCCCATATCGAATAGTCTTAAGAAGTGTGTGTGTGTGTGTTTATATGTCTATTATAGCTTCTACATTGTTAGTGTGTGTTTAATTAATAAAAATGTAATTTTTACAAAATATTTCTAAATATTAATAGTAATTAGAAATTTTCTTCTTTTGGTAATTACAATATAATAACTATTAGAGTTAATTAACTATTTGACTCTTAAATTTTCCTTTTTGTGTTAACCGAGTCCATAAATTATATTTTGTGTCAATTTAATTTTTGAACTATATATCTGCCGTTAAATTTTATGGAAATTATTACGTGCACATTATATAAGTCAGAAATTAAGTTTTAGTTTAGAAATCATGTGATGTGCGTGTGAGAATTTTTATCAAAGTTAATGGCGAATCTGAATGGAGACCCACATTGATCCAAATTATATAGTTCAGGGACTAAATTGATACATCACATAACTCAGGGGTTTGATTAACATAAATAATATAGTTTAAGGGCTAAATATATAGTTAACTCTAACTATTATTAGTAAAAAGTGAAAATAAATGCATAATAAAATATGAGAGAGAGTAACAGAGACAAAGAGAGAAAATCAGAGTTCTCTTAAGAGCATCTCTAACCATGATTCAAATTTTTACTCAAATTTAAATTAATATTTGAATAAAAAACTTGATTTGATACAAAAAATTCTAATGAATAAATTCAAATTTAAAGAATGAGAAACTTAAATTTAAATAAGAGTAAAAATGATTATTAGATCTTTAAAAGATAATAAAATCTCACAATTAAATATTTGAATAAGAATTTGAGTCTTCCTTAATTTGAAGAAAAAAATTTGGGATTAATTACAAATTGTATCATGAAAAATCGTTCGAATCTCAATTTGCACCCTCAAATATACAAATTTATATTCATGTGCACCCCCAAAGATGAAAAATCTCAATTTGTACTCTCAAAAATAGAAATTTATATCAATATGCACCCCTAAAGATAAAAAATCTCAATTTACACCCTCAAAGATAGAAATTTGTATCAATATACACCTAAAACTAAATTGATAAATTATATCTAGATTCCTTTATGCTAGTTAATTAATCATTTGGACCTCTTTAGATTTAAAATATTACTCTTACATCTCATGACATTTGTGCACGTGTAACACGTAATCCTTTTTCGTTGATATCTGTTAATATAACTGTTAAAAAATATGATTTTATCATAATAAAAAATTATAATTTTATATTACCTTTTATTTTATGGGTCAAATATATTCTAAAGTTTAAAATCAAGCTTACCATTTGAATGTCTAACAGAATAAAAGGTTGCACGTTGAGTGATATATTATATTGGATATAAAAAATATTATATAAATATCTACATTTTATTGGACATTCAAATGGTAAGCTTGATTTTGAACTTTAAAATATATTGGATCTACAAAATAAAAGGTAATATAAAATTATAATTTTTTATTAGAATAAAATCATATTTTTTTAACGGTTATATTAACATATATTAACGAAAATGGGTTATGTGTTACACGTGCACAAACACCGTGAGATGTAGGAGTAATATTCTAAATGTGAAGGAGTCCAAATAATTAAGTGACAAACATGAAAGGATATAGATATAATTATCAATTTAGTTTTAGGTGCACATTGATACAAATTTTTATCTTTGACAATACAAATTGAAATTTTTTATCTTTGAGGGTCCACATTGATACAAATTTCTATTTTTTAGGGTATAAATTAAGATTTTTGATTTTTGGGGTACATATTGATACAAATTTATATTTTTGAGGGTATAAATTAAAATTTTTGACCTTTAAGAATCTAAATTGAGATTCAAACTATGTTTAGAACGTAACTTGCAATTAACCCGAAAATTTGAGAAAACGTTGTAGCAAATTTTTAAAATTTTTTTATTCAAATTTAATTTTAAACCTAAATTTGAGTCAGGTACGAAGATCCCCGACAATTCTCGTCAACACCGTTTCTCTTTTCACCTTTCTCTCTCTTCCCTTTACACTCCATCTTTCAGATCAGATCTAAAAAATTCTCACTTCCAAACCTTAAAAAAAAAAATCAACAATGGCAACCCCAGCTCCATCACGACGCGAAGAGTTCGTCTACATGTCGAAACTCGCCGAGCAAGCCGAACGATACGAGGAAATGGTGGAATTCATGGAGAAAGTCGTCGCCGCCGTCCCCGATTCCGACGAACTCACGGTGGAGGAGCGAAACCTCTTGTCCGTAGCTTACAAGAACGTGATCGGAGCACGGAGGGCGTCGTGGCGGATCATATCGTCGATCGAGCAGAAGGAAGAGTCCCGTGGAAACGTCGATCACGTGAATGCGATTAAGGAGTATAGGGCGAAGATTGAGGCGGAGTTGTCGAAGATTTGTGATGGGATTTTGAAGATTTTGGACTCGAGGTTGGTGCCCAGTGCGGGTTCTGGGGACTCCAAGGTGTTTTATTTGAAGATGAAGGGGGATTACCATAGGTATTTGGCGGAGTTTAAGACTGGATCGGAGAGGAAGGAGGCGGCGGAGAACACGCTCAATGGCTATAAGGCAGCACAGGTTTGTTTTTTCTGATTTTATACCCATTTATATGAATAGTTTCTATATCTGAACATTTGATCTGATTATTTTTGTATTTGTGAAGTATTGCTAAGGTTCTTCTTGGATTTGTGCTTACTACAATAATGCCTGGAACTGTGGCGGTATGGTGATCCACATTATTTTATTTGTGAATTGTTGTGGGATTTAAGAGATTGGCTACAATTGGTAATAAATGGATTGTATGTTTGTCGGGTTTGTTTGGGGGTTGTTACTTTTTTTTTTCTCTGTCTTGCTTATTGTAATTGAATTCTGTGCATTTTTGTAACATTCCGTCGGTAATTAGGCATTAAAATCGCTTTAGTTCAACATCAATTCAATTTGGCCAGGTTAGAGTATTCATGATTTGCACGTCTATTTGTTTACTGAGTTCTGGGTTATGGGTCTTCTTATCATCACGTAACGATTTTGAGTTTTACCTTGTAATATAATAAATGGTTTTTAGGGATGTTAAAGCACCTTCTAATGTCATAAATGGTTTTTAGGGATGTTGAAGACTATGTTCTTTGACTGGTGGAAGTTGGATTTTTGAATTCTAACCAACTCTTGGTGTTAAATTTTGCATGGATTTGTACAGAGCTGTGAGTTTACTTGATCTTGCCTTTTAGGGCATGTGAAATGAAGGGATGTGGGGTTTCAAAGTCACAAAAAGATTATAAGGCTGAACAAGTATCCTTCTTTGCATGGAGTTCAAATTACTCCTATCACTTTTTTATTTCTAATCCACCTATATAAAGCTCACATTTATATTCGTGCATCCTGTGGGAAGGTAATTTAATCTAGTTGTAAGTCTAGACTTCGTCATTTTATAAATCCGATGCAGCCTTATGTCAGTTAATGAAATTTTAAGCTTTGTGCCTTTATTCAAGTTGCTAGAGGGATATATGTGAGTGTCGGATTCATCTAAGTGTAATTTTATAGCTACTTGAGGCATGATAAGTAAGTTATTCTTTGATAGTGACAACTATCCTTGAAAACTCCCAAAAATTAAAATTTTGTTTCGAGACATTATTTTGATCACCTAGAAAATAGAAACGTTTCGATCAATTTTATAATTGTTTCGACTTTTTTTGAAAATAGAATGAAAATAAATAAAATAATTAAGAATTATTTTTAAAACGTTGGTCGAAATATACTAAAGTATCTTGAAATAACTTGAAAATTTTTGAAACAATTGTACAAATACCTCAAAACATTATAAAACACTTTGAAATATTGAAATTTTAATATCATGATTGATTTATTTTGATCTCTTTGAAAACGGAAATTCTTCGGTCATTTCGAAACGAAAATTTGATCCTTAAAAACTCCAAAAGTTAAGTCTTTTGGTTTGACATGGGTTACACATGAAAACAGTACGAACAAATTTGTAGTATCCAAGTGGCATAGCTCATTCATTTAGTTGCTTGGGGTTCTTGTTCTAATTTAAACCTTGTTATGAAGGTTGTTCCTCATTTATGGGAAATTTTATCTCTAGGTTATTAGAATTGTTATAAATGTGTTGCGAGTTAAATTAAGATTAGTGGTTTTTTTTTTCTTTTTTTTTTCCTTTTTTTGATATTATGTTTCCTTATTGATGCTCTATTGTTTCGTTTCTTTTTTATCTCTATTTTCAGGATATAGCAAATGCAGAATTGGCTCCAACGCATCCAATCCGCCTTGGATTGGCTCTGAACTTTTCTGTTTTTTACTATGAAATCTTGAACTCTCCTGATCGAGCATGCAGTCTAGCAAAACAGGTGGGGAGCTTAGCTTTGAGTTTTTAGGTTGAAAGACTTTTTGATGCGCAACTTTTCCTTTGATCATAGAGAAATTTACACCTGGTCTTGATTCTGTGTGGTCTATTATGTGTGTATACCTAAATGCTTTTACCTGTGTGTTTGCAATACTCTTTCACTAAAATCCAGTATTGATATCGAAAGGACATAAGGTTGCCTTGCTTTGAACACTTCATTGAAAGGTCATTTGATTTGATGCGCAATGTCTATTAGTTTTGAAGACGACATGTACATGCATATGCACACTGCTCAGACATACATTAATAAACATATATACATGTGACAAATATATGTTTGTTTATATTTTCTCTGTTCATGTTTTAAATGAGTTCTCTCTCTCTCCCCTATTTAAGTTGTTAATGTGACCATTTCAAGTAGATTCCATGTTCATGTAGCACATGTTAGAACACCACTTTTTTGCTTTAGTGTGTTGTTTTGTATCTTTGTATCTTTTTGTCGTGTGCAGTTCATCAATCAGTTGCAGCATTATCCAATGCTTGTTTGTTTTTCATCAGGCTTTTGATGAAGCCATCGCGGAGTTGGATACGCTGGGAGAAGATTCATACAAGGATAGCACTCTTATAATGCAGCTTCTTCGTGACAATCTGACTTTGTGGACCTCAGATATGCAGGTTTTGATTCAAGTTTATTTTCTTGTTAATTTTTGTTACTCATTGCCTCGCATTTTCCTTTCAATATTGAAATTTTTAATAAGTTGGTGGCCTGTATGCAGGATGATGGGGGCGATGAAATTAAAGACGCAACCAAGCCTGAGCAGTAGTTGCATTTTTCACATTAGTACTTTGTTTCTACTTTTTCACTTTTTGATTGAAGAAGTTGTTTGCAATAACATTCTAGTGTATGAGTTTTTAGGAGTTAAGTGCCTTGATTTTATGATCTTTGGTAATACTGAAATTTGATGTTTTTATTGTAATTCATGAGAACAGGAATACTTTTTATTGATTGATTGCCTTAGTATCCCAGTTGTTACTACAATTGTGTTTGGTGTCCTTAGCTCAGACTTTGGAAGGTGTGTGTGTTTGAAATATGCTTCATCCATCTGGCTTCCAATTCTTTGTTGTTCTTGAGTGGGCATAATACAACCAAGCAAGAAATTAAATTTCGTTTCGTTTCAAAATAGTTGAAACGTTTCTGTTTGCAGGAAAATCAAAAACGCAATTTTGACCCTTACAACCACGGTTGTGGTGTTGGGGAATCTCTGAATGGTTACCAAAATCTGCTTGTTTTAGGTAAATTGAAGATGAAGGTTTGAAATGGCATGGTGCGGATTGAGGGACGGAAACTGTTAATTCTTGTAGTTCTCGTGGTCAACTGATGATATTTGTGAAGAATTAGATTCAAAATGAGTAGCTGGTCATTAATCAAGACATGAGAGGTCTTTTTTACTCAATGGGCCCAAATTCTATGGAATTAACTATAAGTCAAGCTGGTCGATTATCAAAGGAAAGGTCGGTTCAAATTTTATGATAGGCTGAAAACCTTCTACAGTTAGAGGGCGTGGGTCTAGTAGAAAGTAAGGAGCTCGCAATAGCTAAATTATGAAAAATTCATATACTTTCAATTTATATTATTGTTTATTTTTAAATGATGCACGTGCCTTTTTTTTTTTTGTTTAATTTATAAAGTTGTATAATTAAAATGATAGAATTAAAACTTTAAGCATTAAAGGGCAATAAATGAAATTTTAAGGACTACTAGTACAATTTACTCTTTAATAAACCAACGGTGTAAATCCCCCAAGGCTAAAGTGCAAGAAGCTAAATTTTTTTTTTTTTTGGTATAACAATGAAGAGTTAAACTTGCTTATGAATATTTTGATTAATTTCTTTCTTAATTTTTGGTTAAAGATAAATTATTTACACCAAAATTAAAAAATTCAATCTTTCAAGACTTGGTCAAACTCAATATTATGGTGAAAATTCGGAAAGAGAATTTCATTTTATCCTTTGAAAAATTTTGCCCACAAAACATACAAATAATTAAACGAAAATAAGACGGTAGACCATATTATAGTATTTTTTATTCTTGAAGAGATAATATGAAAAAATTAATTATTTAGAAGACAAATTAAATTTTTTTGTATCTTTTAGGTGATAAAATGGGATTTACCAAAGTTTGGAAGGTAAAAATTTTGCGCATTCCAGAAGCAAAGTTTGTAGTGTGACGCAATAATGCCACTAAGTACTAGCCCTAGCGCCTTCCTTTCCTTTTAAATTGAATTGTCCCCAGAAGATAATGAAAAGACAAAACCACCGTAACGCAGGAAGCCACCAGAAGCTCCACGCCCTTCGCTCTCCACTTTCACAGACTTTCACTCATGGCACAAGAAGAAATCCAGGAAACTCAGGCAAGAATTTTCTACCCATCTTTTCTTTTCATTTCGAATTCAGGCAAGAAATCCAGGAAATAGGTTTGTTCACTATTATAGTGCTTCGTGACGTAGTGATGTATAAAAAGACTAATCCGTTTGATGCCAATCAATTTGGATGTCCTATTTACCTTATTTTTCGCTACGATAAATTGGACCCTGGTCATGGTTAGCGGGCATCAGTTCTAAATGTTATGTTTACCATGTTTCGCCGACTGAAATGTAAGTGCCATTGGAATTCGTTAATGGTCAATACTATCTGACGGAACTTTTGGCGTCTAAGCTGCCTTCACGTGTAAAAATATAGTCATTATGAAACTTAAAAAGACGCCGAGAAGTAATTGCTCGGAGGAGCCAAGTACATGTACCGACACCAACATTTAAAAATATTTGAAAACTCATTAATGAAGACACAAGTGACTGTAACATGAATATTAGTGAGTCTTTGCATCTTCAAGACCCAAACTAACAGTCATAATTACAAAGTATTAATAGTTATTGTACTGAGCATATCTATTCGGTGTACCCTGAGGTACTATTTCCTGAACATTGAACGCTCGAGAGTAGAGGTCAAGCGTCAATCAAATGGACTTGAATGACCGGGGTTATGGTCATAAGTTCTCAGTATGCCCCGAGCAGTCACCCTATCACTCAAGAAGAACTAATCTCGAGAATTTGGGTGGAGAACACTTATTACGCATTAATAAGAGTGCAAGTCATGAGATGAGACTCAAAGTCTTTGCACTTAGTGTTGATCCAGGTGTAAATATTCTTTAGAAAAATGAACAAAGATATACAAATTAAACTGAGAAAAAGGAAACACTGTGTGAAAAGCCTCCAAATTTCTACTGACCTAAGGGTCGGGGGATAAGTTGGCTGTTCACCCAGCCCCCTTTTCTGACCTTGTGGTTATTTTAAATTCATCATCGCTATCCGTATTTGTTGCACGAAATCTCCCTTGCACTATCACTTGTTAATTTTATCAGATTTTGCATTTGAATTTAGGAATTTTGTTGGGATTCATTGGTAGGCCTCAGAATTTCTTCTGAGCATTTAGTGGCCTTTTTTTGTTCTGATTTTGCTTAACTTTCTCAATGAGTACTGTTGGAACCTATTCCTGCTATAGTAAAAATGCTTTTACATGTAATTGTAATGATAGTAGTTGCAGGAGGGAGAGGAACAATCCGACAATGGCGAAACTCCTACACAAGCATCTGAGAATGAGAAGCCAATGGAGGATGCTCCTGAAAAAATTGAGGAAACCCCTCCTGCTGAGGAAGAAAACAATGAAGCTCCCGAGCAGCAGGGGGAATCAGGTGATGAAGAAGGCGAGGAGGAGACATTTGGAATAAAGGTATAATGTGACAAGAACTCTATGGATTAACTATGGTTGTCTTGGTACAACATAAATGATTATCTTATTTCCATCTTCTTTTTGACCAAATATTCACTAAATTTCTGCTGTTAAATCCAGCTTGAGACAGCACCTAATGATATCCGATTCCCAACTACAAATCAATCACGACATTGCTTTACACGCTACATTGAGTATCATAGGTTTGTCAAAGTATCCAGTATGGTTCATCTCTTTTTGGTCACTGTTTTGTTAGCTTGGTTCTGTTAACCAGTTTGCAAAATATTATCGATCCCTATGCCCCGGTGAATGGGTATGTCATGTGTTTTATTATGTTCACATGCTTCCTTCAATGTGAATATATCACTCAAGTTGGATTTTATCCTTGATTTTTACTCTGGTTCTGACTTTGGGCTTTGGCAAGAAATGTTAATGTTGGACAACCTCGGTGATAGAATGCTTTTAGTGTTTTGAAACCTGTTAAGAACTAGACCGCTGATCCAAAAGCTCCAGAACTTATGAGACTGACTTGTTTAAGCATTTAGCAGGATCGTAACATTGTTGGGCCCACCACTATATCCATATTGAGCCAATGGGAACTCGTCATCCTCTCATATCATTGTTATGAATCGATGGTCAGAACTCACATTTGAAAACTGGCCTGCAAGGGAAAGTTTTTTAAGGGTCTATATAAACACACTTTCAAGCTCATACCTGACCATGTGGGGGATTGAACTAGTTTAAGTATCTATATTTCTATATTAGCACTATTCATGTTATTCAAATGATATTTGGGGTTATACTGGCACATCTAGTTGGTCCGAGTCTATCAGATCCCATGGCTACTTGGCAAATATTGGGACTATTTAGAACTTCCTGTGCCCGTGCTAATACTGCATGGACCCTTTTCAATTACTTTGGTTTTCTTCAGTGGATAAATTTTGTGGATTGATTGTGAAATTCTGCATCTGCAGGTGTAATTTTATCATGCTCTATTGAAGATTGAGTAATTATTGGTAAAATTTTGAAGATTAGGTGGTATTTATGAATTATTTGAAAAACTAGTGGAATTTATCCTAGAACCTGATGGACAAATGTATCACCTTACATTCCTCCTTGAGTCTGTTTGTCATTCACTTTCATCCTTGCAGTCTGCTTGTTAGTTGTTTTCCTGCTTCACTCCTGAAAGGATCTGATTCAGATTTTAGCTACAGAATTTGTTGCTATGCTTCCAAGATACGATAGTTGATAAATAGCACCATAAGTCTCTCTACCCAGCTGAAGTTCTTTGAAGTCGATTAGTTTGTTTTTTTAGTGAACCAGTGTTTCATGGAAGCATTACAAGCCCTTATGTATTCAACTGCTTTTGCTTTTGTTCTTGCTATTACAACATGATTGGGCTTTGTTCATTTAGAATGGCTCCTAAAGGTAACATATTTCAATGACTTATATGCAGTTAGAGGCTTGGAATGAACAAAGGGAGCAAGGGATCTTTCCTGGTCCCCTGTAGGAGGAGGAGAGAAAAAAGAGGGGTTTTTTTGTTGTGTGTGTGTGTGTTGGGGGGGGGGGGGGTGCAATCTGACATTGGATGTCGAAATATGCAGTTTTGTAATATTTCTGCTTCTTTCTTGTGTTTGTACAGAGAGCTTCATCTGTCCAGTGTTGTTCATAAGTATAAAAACATGAAAGTGAGTTTAAACCTGAGAAAAATTAGGTGCTACTTAGTTCATCCCTTTTGATACTCTAGTATTTACATAGGGAGGGGGCGATGAGATTCAATCCCGCCAACAACTGCAGGGAAATGGCCGAATCCTCTAATTATGGTGAACCAAACACTCCAAGACAAGATTGATAATCCTGTCTTTTGGCATGTTTGGATAGTGGGAAAGTGATGGATAAGAATGTTTTTTTTTCTTTCTAGTCCTTTCAAACTCCACCCGGTTGAATTTGTACATGGGATTCATATGTGTATTCTATCGAAATAGAATATTTTAATATCCGTTTATTTCAAAAATTTAAGTTGTTAAAGATGGTCGAATTTAAGTATTTATATTTCAATAAAATGTTCGATTTTTTTACGTTAATGTAAGATCCACATATTGATATAAAACCAATTATGGAATTGACTAAAATGTCTAGTCCAATCTAATGCAAGTTCATTATTTGGGGTTAGTAATGTTTTTTTGCCGTGGATATCCAGGTTGCCCCCATGTAAGCCCCCCACCACCCCGACCCGGGTTAGTCCAAGCCTATATATGTGGGTTTTAATATATTGTGCATATCAAACTTCACATAACATGTACTTTTGTTTTTTTTTTTTTTATCAAAAAAGGAAAATTTTATTCAACTAATAAAAGATTGATTACAATAAAAAATAAGTAAGTCCTGAGCTCGGGTGGTGGATTCACCGCCCAATCTTGAGGTAAGGGATGAAAAAGTCTAACTTTGGCCACCTAGTGAGCCATCGTATTGGTAACTCGAGACCCGTAACTGAAATTAAGATTTAAGACTGTAGCAGCGGTCTTGATGTCTTTTATAAAGGCAACTATTTCCCCTGGGGGATCATCTTCACCGGTGCACAGTAAAATGAGGGACCGGTTGTCGCTTTCAATTGTATCACGATTGAAGGTTCAGAGAAAGAGCCATGAGGCATGCTTCAAGGGCTGCAACAGCTTCAGAAAGCAGACTGGACACTGCTGGAACTGGGAATGACACCTCATCAATGAGAGCCCCCCCAGCATCCCTACACACCACTCCAGCCGAAGCAATAGACCTGCTGGGGTTAAATGCACCATCACAATTGAATTTGACCAAATTCTGGGTTGGGGGGAGCCAATGAGGGCCTGTGGTAAATTCTGTGTGCCCGGACTTGAATGGGTCCTAGATCTGCACGAACTTGAATAACCCATGTCTCTCCAACCCATAATGACCCCATTAATGGCATACAAAGGGTTAGGGGGGACTGATAAAAAAAGATGGCTTCATTCCTCATTTTCCAGATAGTCCACCCAACGGAGGTCACCTTGCTCAAAACAGCCACTACTTGTTTGGAGTCTTGCACTACTACATCCACCAAATCTGAGATCCAATTACGAATATTGGGTACTTCAAATGTTGGTTTTAAATTCCTAACCAAACAAAGAATATAAAGGTTGATTGAATTATTTTGTTAATTTCCACTCAAACCCACAAATAGAACAGGTCATTTTATGTGAGCTAAGTGAAAAACTAAGAATTACAATAACTGCTAAGAGTGGAAAAGGGGATGTGCATCCAAAAACCATGGCTTGTTCATTGTTAACCTTAACTGTATTTTTTCAAGGGAATTTTAAAAGCTGATACTTTTTTTTAACACTTATTTGAGAGAGAAATCTCTCTCAATTTTTTTTTGGATAAAAGTCCTCTTGTTTCCCAAAAAATTTGAAGTACCACATTAAGTATCTGGAAACCAAAACGCCAGTTTCTTTATCTCTCACGATCCCTGAATCAATGTCATAAAAAATGTGACCACTGTTCCTCAAAACATGGACACCAGTCTAGAACATTTTTTTTCTCTTATATATATATATATATATATTGAAATCTTTCTCAAATTAAGATTATTTCTCTCTAAATATCCTAAATTTTAAGGTTTTCTTATACTAGAACTATTTTTCTCAAAATTCATTAAATTTAGATTCTTTCTAAGATAAGAACTATATTTTTCTCTCTCTTCTCCCCCCTCCCACTTGATATATAGTTCTTATATTAGAACTATCTTGTCACATTTTTTTAATATATTATCACATTATTTTTGAATAACTTGTCTCATTATTTTTTATATTGTTACATTATTTTTGAGCAACTTGTCATATTGATTTTTATGTTGTTACATTGTTTTCAAAAAGAATTCGATTTATAAAAAAAAAAAGAAAAAAAAAAGAGAAGACAAAACTAACTCGTCTAGTTGAGCAATTTCCATCAGGTTAGAGGAGAAGATGAAATTTTGAAATGGTAAAAAAAAAAAGACAATCTTGCTACACCCAAAAAAAAATAAAATTTACTACATTTAATGTTGAAGAAGACAAACTCATGGTTCAAAAAGATAATGACGAAATGAACGGAGATTAGTTTTTTAAAATTCAAACATTTGAAAATATCACAATAACACTAAAAAAGAATCGTTTCAAATATTTAGAGATTTGAAAAAAAAGAAACTATAATATCAGTTATGCATAAATCAAGGTAAGAATAATTAAGTAATATTAAGAAGAAAAAAAAAATTGAAAAGAGTACTTGCTTACAATTTTTATACTTATTTTAGAATTAAATGCTTACCTATTAAAACAGGGAACTTATATCCAAATAAGACATAAAAAGGGTAACGACACCTAATTTCATCCTTTTTCAATCTGGCATATTTCTTAATTTAGCTTGGCTAATGTGGCCATGGCCCATGGGCCATATTTGTGGGTCTCAATTCAGCCAATCCAGTTAGCCCAGCGTTAAAATCACAACCTTATTCATTGGGCTCTAGGCCTACACAGGTGATGTCGATTGATGGGTCGGGCTATTCATGATCCAATACCTACATAAAAATTAGCCAGTATAAATTTTAATGTTACATAGATCTCACTTTTTATTAAATTTTTTTATTAGATTCTCAAATTAGGGGTTAAATAATATTTTAATCTCCTTTAAATTTAAATTTATACTCATTTAAATTAAATTCATAATGGGTCGGATGGACGGGTCGGTATGACCCGTTGGTTGGTTTATTCATTTAATTTTTTCGGTAAGTGACCGTTAGGTTGATTCACCTTAAAAGCTTCCTGCCGCCGTCAACCTCGAGCAATAAAATTTTCCATCCCCTTCCCAGAGAACAAGGGAGAGAGCGAGAGATGTGGGTGTTCTATCTGATCTCGCTGCCTCTGACGATGGGCATGGTGGCACTCACGCTCATGTACTTCGCGGGACCACACGTGCCTCGCTACGTCGGTTTTACCGTCGCTTACCCCTGGTTCTGTTCTCTCTCCATCATCATTCTCGTCCCAGCCGACATCTGGACCGGACGTTTCAATTTGCCTTTGTCTCAGTATACCAATCATCTGTATACAAAAATCAGTAGTTGTTGTCATTGCTTTTGATCATGTGTTTTGAGTTTTCGTATTTGATAGAAAGATATGAATCTTTTTGTGTAACTCAAAACGGTAAAACAAATTTGAATTATGAAAGAATCACCGAACCCTTGAGTGAAAGCTTTTCACAGCCGGTTGATCAGGTTATAGATAATTTGTATGTTGGTCTTTTTTGGCAATTCCGGTTGTGGGTTTTGTTTCTTTCAAAGGGTGCGTTTTGTTTTCAATAAATTGGGCATATAATTGGATTTGGAGAACCCATTTTCCGTGTTAAGAATCTAATAGGACTAGTAGTGATGATTTCAGATGAATTTAGAATCAAATTTTACCCTAGGGTTTTGGTATTTAGCATAGGATTTTCTGCTAATGTAACTCTTTTCAACTCAAGAAGGCATAACCGCAACCCAGAAAGGAAGTTTCTAATATATTACATCATAGTTTATTTTTCGTACAGGGATGTTGCTGAACCCTTTTATTTTGTGCAGACAATAATTGGTCATGACAAGGGAGGAATCTCTTTCTTCTCGAGCTGGTCATATTGGAGCACTTTTTTGCTTACTTGTTATGTAATTAGCATAGCACTTCGCTAATCTTGTCTAATGGCTTATGCTCATCTTTGTATATTCATACGAGTTGTTTATGTTTGCTCAATAAGAGCTCAAGACATGTATTTTCCTCTTACGTGTTGTATATGCCTTTATTTTTTGCCTAGTTGCATTGAGTTTTTGTAGCTTGTAGGAAAGAATTGTTTTCACCTGTCTGATGTTGGTTTGTTAATTACAAAAAGTAGATTTCCCAATTGTTTGGTCTTCTCAAAGGATTTTTAGCGTAATACTTAATAATAGGATTTGAACCAACATTTTTTTTTGAGGTTCTGCCAGGCAGTTTTCATGTTTGTCCTTGTGTAAATTGTATTCTGAAATTTCTTTAGGGTTTTTATTTCAAGTTTTGTTTCCATTTTCTTATTACATGTAGTCTTCTTACAAATATGAGTTAAGGCGTTTTTTGTCCTTTCCAATGCCTAACCATAAACCTTAGGGATAAGAATAAGAAGCAATTTGATATATAGATATCACAAAAAGAACTAAATAAGGAACTATTTTGTTGCCATTGCTTTACTTTCATGAGCTTTGGATGCTTTGTGGTTAGGTACTTCTTTGATATTTTCAGGTGAAGATGCACATATTCTCATAGATTTATAATGATCTATTTCCCTCAGCAGGGCTGTGGTGCCTATAATTCAGGGTTATGAAGATGCCGGGGACTTCTCAGTGCCTGAAAGATTGAAGACCAGTGCACATGTAAACTTAGTCTTCTACGTCTGTGTCGGTTCTATTGCACTTTGTGGAGTTATACTGCACATAATTTTGCGCAAAAAATGGTTTGTATCTTACCCTTCTTGGTTGATTGTTATTTGATGCAGATCCATGGCTTTTTTGATGAATAGTGTCATCTTTATCTGAAGTCCCAAAAAATTGGACATTAGACTATGAGAAGTCTAATGAGGGCTCACTCCCGCCTGCAGGTGGTTGCGAGTTCCACTCTACCCACCACCCACCACACACACAAAAAGAAAAAGAAAAAAAGAAGAAGCCCTCATTGCCATCGGCAAGACTAGAAACAACTATCACTGAAAGAGCCACACCCAACATCACCACTACTCAAATCTCTTATCACCCCATCTCTAGACCACCCATCAAAATGATACTCTCCATATATATCGTCTCTAACTTCTATTTCAAACCTCTACGTTTTTTGTCGACATTATCATTTGGTTGGAATTTCCTAACAAGGCTTACTTAGTATTTATAAGGGTGTAATTCTCAACATGGATAGAGTGTAGGATAACTTGACTGAGATTCTTTTGCCCCTTAACACTCCAGTAATGGGACAACGGGAAAGGTTAGATAAATTCCCCTAATTTTACCCCCATGATTATCTGAATTGATGATATGTAGGTAACATGCATCTACATTCATGTGTGTGTGTTTGTGGGTTGTGGGACAGAGCATTTTGGAAGGTTGTACTGGAAGAAAAGAGTGCCCATATTTTGTCAATTTCTTGAGTGTGCTTTTGCATGTACGAGTCCGGCAATACTTGTTCACTCTCAGCATAGTTTTATAGTTAGGGCATGGATGGCGGCCTTAATTTGTGTTTGAATGTGTTGATGTGCATCTTCAGCCACCAATAGCATATATATTTCAAGTTGAATAGCTCAGTTCCACTTCATTATTATCAATTCATGTTTTCTTCTGCGCTTTTTCTCTGATGCTTGACGTTGTACATGCAGGAGAGGTATTGTTGGTTTTGCTATGGCTTGCTCAAATACTTCTGGTCTTGTGACTGGTGCATTTCTTCTTGGTTTTGCTTTGAGTGTAATTCCAAAGGGAATTTGGAAAAATGCGGATTGGACCACTCGTCAAAAGTTTCACTTTCATAAAGTGGCTAGAATGGCTGTGAAACTTGATGATGCTCATCAAGAATTTTCAAATACTATTGTTGTAAGTTTTACATTCCTAACGTTTTTCTCAAACAAAGCCAAAGCCTCAAGCACCCTCTTGAGCCAAAACGCAGTTACCCAACAAGGGAGATTCAACAATGAAAGGATTTTTTTAATCTTGTGGTTGCACAAGAAACAAAAAAAAAAAAAAACAAAAAGTACTACAAATACAAAAGGAAGGGTTGAATGCATGAAGTATGAGAAATTAATTCCCCCTTCCTCTCTAACCCAAAGACATGTAACCTTTTGAGAGGAGGAGGGTTTGACCCTCATACAAACAGCATAAAAGGCCCCATTTTTGGCAAATGAGTTTGCATTGCCTTTCGCAGAGCAAGGACCGATCTATTGTCTGCCTCTAGGACTGAAACAGTTCCAAGATGTCTTTCATGAGGTGACTGTATTACCATGAAGAAAAAGAACAGAAAGGTGGGTGTATATTGTCATGAGACAGGAGATTAATCTTTGATCAAGCTTGCCACTGTTGGACTTGCCCTCATCAAGAAAGATTAAGGTCAAAGTAGAAACTTTGCTATGAATTTCTACAAGGGCTCTAAACAACCCCCTGAGCCATACTTGGGGAGCTTAGTGTGACAAAATACTTGGTATTATGGCAAGAGGAACGGTTTTAAACTATTCCCAAATCTCCTTAAAAGTAGATTCTTTGCCTTCAAATAACTAAGACAATTCTCATGATAGCACAATGTCACAGCATTTGAGCTTCTCTTCCTTACCAAAACGCCAAAGTTAGGACTTAAGCATGATAGAATGGTATTGCCCTTTTCGATTTGCCTTGGGGTCAAAGCAATTTAAAAACTAGTGGTACTTCTTGATATCGATTGACCATCAATTTTCATTAGTTCATTCAACTCCTAGTGTGCATTAAAAGTTAATAATCTTGTACTTGTCTTGCTGCCAAATATTTCCAGATGGTGATGTTACTTGTAAAAGTTATGCCTGATTCTTAATATTGGAGTCAAAGTCAACCTTTTTTATTTTTTTGGAGAGGATATGTACTATGAATAATGTGATCTATAATGCAATTATACAGACTAGCTGGCCTTGAACGTAGTCCTTATGATGTTATCTCTAGCCTTATAAGCCTTATGAAATCAAGGATTTATGCAGTGTGCTAGGGGTCATTGTTTGGTGTGCCTGTAAAATTTTTGGGCTGTCTAGCGTCAGATTACATTTTGAATCTAAGAGCAGTCACTTGAAGGAAAATGTTAAAGCTTAGGTTTGCATTCAAGTTACTCCCCTGTCATTGCTAAGCAGTTCTAAAAATGGATAATGCAGGAATTCTACTTCTTCTTGCTATATTTACATTAACAGTTTTGATATGGCTCATAAGTTTTGGTATTTAACCTGGGCTCACATTTCCTTGGAGCTTATAAAATTTTGAATCATGATCTATTGGGAAGGTTTTTTTTTTTAAATTTAATTTTTTTCCTGACATATGGTGGTGGTTTATTGCATTAGGTTGCTCAAGCAATATCAAAACAAATGTCCAAGTGTGATCCTCTGAGACCATACATGAATATTATTGACAAGATGTTGCTCCAGATGGTAATTTTGCTTATTGAGCATGTCTGAGGTGTTTTATGCTACTATATCTGTGCCGGACTCCTCAATCTTATTGATTCAAAGTGCTTTCAATGTTGATATCCTATTTATAGCTCAATGAAGACCCTTCTTTCAAACCCCAAGGTGATAGATTGGGAGAAAATGACATGGATTAGGACACTGATGAAAAAACAATGGCGACACTTATCAGAGATATTCCCAGTTAAGATGAGGGGTTCGTGTTTATGAGCTCCCTCAGGAGCTCTCATATGCTCGGCAGGGAGATATGACGGTTTAGGATTATTATGGTAATTTGACCCAGCGCTGGCTTGAGTATGAGACTTTACGTCCTCTTACTGTTATTCCGAAGATAGAACCCGAGAGAATAGCATTCTTGCATACTCTAGAGTAAGATGATAGGATTCACAAGTTCTTTATGGGGCTTCGTGATGAGTTTGACAGACCTCGTTCCCAGATTTTGTCAATGCTGAGGCTTCCGTCCCTTCATGAGGTGTGTGCGATGATTGAGCAACATGACCACTGTATCCATATTACATCACTTACCGGTTGCGACCTTGACTCCTCAGGCCGACCAGATAACCCTTGCTACAACTGTAGGATCTTGTTCAGGACCCTTGGCTTGGGGTGGACAGCGCTCAGACCATCGTCGTTAGTGTGCCCCAGATCAGCGTAGATAGGGGGATTCTCATCAGTGTGATTATTGTGACTAAACAAGACATCTTAGGGCTGCTTGCTAGAAGCTCCATCCGGAGCTTTACCGCCTCGCAGCCATATTGTTGTCATTGCTGAGGTACCACCACCTACAGCCGTTGCTCCTGCTACTGCTCCTCCTTGGTAGAGTGATATGAATGTTATTATCACTTCTCACTTGGATATACTTATGTCAGCCTTGACTTATCTGGGTCCGACTATTGCTGCTGCGACTACTACAGGTATACCTCGTGTCTTTCATGCTTGCGCCAGTCCGTCTCCCCTTTGGATTTCAATTAACTATATTCTTAGAAATTTATTTCTTGTTTATTTTGTTTGACGATGTTGGTGGGAAATCTCATTCTTAATGTCTACCAGGATGGTTGCATGATATGCACCTCCAATTTCGTACAACTTTCTCAATCTTATACGTCTTCCTGAGGGGGCCAAGACTATCTTTGAACAAATCTGTGTTTTCTTGCATAATCTTTTGGTTGGCAGTGCCCTTTGATGGGCAGATCATACATTGATAACCATAATTTTCTTTTGAACACGAAAGTCAACATCCATGCATGAGGGGGCCAAGACTATCTTTGAACAAATCTGTGTTTTCTTGCATAATCTTTTGGTTGGCAGTGCCCTTTGATGGGCAGATCATACATTGATAACCATAATTTTCTTTTGAACACGAAAGTCAACATCCATGCATGACATCTGTAAGGTGCATCATTGTGCAAGTCTTACAGATCGCTATTTAAAATGTGGTGAAATTTGGGATGGACTAAATTTTTTTCTTTCTTTTCATCTAACTTCTCTCCAGTCAGACTCATTCATCCCAAAATATAAATCATAAATATGCCATATTTTGCACGTTGCAAGTTGTGCTTCTTGCATTGTGATGGATCCAAAGTTCCACGGACAATAAACTGAAGCTTTAATGTAAACAATAATGATGGACATTACTGAATTCCTGTTCTGGAGGGCAACTCTACAAACATTGAAGGATCAGAAACTTTTTGGTTTATTATCCTTCTCGGGATATAATAAACAGGGACTTAATTGGTGCAATCCCAGCTTGAACTGCACTTTGGAAATGGAGAATGAATCACTAATATTTGATGATCTAGGGTAGTGGAGATTAACCATTGAAATAGACTCCTAAAGCTTGGGTCAATTTTCTATTCAGTTTCTTTGAACCTACACTGACAACACAATTAAATATAGATCAACGTGTTGTAATAATTAGGAATGCGCATGAAATATAGAAGCATTTGACAAAGGCTTTTTCTTGGAAAACGTTTGGAGGAAAGATGGGTCGATTATCCTGTGTCAATCCTGGATGCGCTAAAACAGTAATATAGTTTTTCCTCTGCATGTGCTTTTAGGCCTTTCGTGTACATGGGCTTTGCCCTTTTTTAAAAAAAAATTGGAGTGACTAAAAAAAATGGTGAAATGAGAACAATTTTAACTGCTACTGGTGTGTTTGAGATTCCCGCCAGAGCATAAGATGACGTGCATAAGAGTTACATTTGATTAGGCATCCCCTTATGTGTGATGAAGAACTGCAGACAAGATTTAGATGTTAAAAGGACTGTGAAAAGCTTGAGAACCTGTCATATGACCTAGTCAAGTGATGAGTTCGGGTTAGCTGCAGTCTTGAGTTTATTCCAACTCATTTGTTTACCAAAATTCTACATATCTTAGATGAGATGTCTATAGCAACTGTGCTGCGACTTGTTTCAGGTGAATTATTAAATTGCTGATTCAGGCTGATGGTTAGTGGGTTAACTGCACATGGTAAATATAATTTTGAAGACATTTGGATTATATTCTCCCTTTTCTGCTATTTTATAAAAATCCACATAGAATTATCTTTAAAATATCATGAAGGATAATGATAACACATGGTTGATCCTTCTTTGGACAATTTGTTGTTGTGTTTGAAATCAAATAACCAGTTAGAGCCAAGTACTGTCAGTTTTGTCTTCTCATATCACTTATAAGTATTTCCCCTTTCTTCGTTGGTATGTTTCTCTGTTTCCCGCTCTTTGTTTAGAATGTGTTTCTTAAGTAGGTGACTAACTGTCCGGCTGGAAGAGATAGGTGAGAAGTTACCTATGAACATCAGAAACTTCCGGCAGTTTTGTACAGATTGTTCAACTTCAAATGTTGCTAAATTTCTATTACATTTGCAGAGGTTGGGGAATATTGATGATGCTGTCCCTTTCTTTGGGAGAGGATTCAACAAAATCTATCCACTTATCATGGTTATATATACCTTATTGATAGCAAGCAATTTTTTTTATCGTGTCCTTGAATATTTTGGAAACTGGAAGACATTCAAGCTCCAAAGTGAAACTGATGATTTGAATGGATTTGGCCCATCAGGAATAATTATTTTGCAGAAAGGTTAGTAAATTTGGCATCATGTCTTGTTTTTTTCTGGGTCATCTAACATTCGTTTGGCCTTATATGCTTCCTCTGAGCAGGGTAATGTTTTGGCAAATCCATGTGCACACTACAATTTGTTCTTTTGAGTTGGGAAAAAAAAGGGGAGGGGGCAGAAAAGGTGAAAAAGATTTATTCATTTATTTTTCCTGTCAATAGACACCAGGATTTTTTTATTGTTGATCAATGCCTGTGAAAATATGCTAACTTATCCCTTTTTCTTAGAACGGTCTGCGCTTGAACAAGGACATAAAGTTGGTGAACTTGTTATTCCTTTGGCAAGGACTTCTGATCTTGAGTCTAGCAGCAATAGCGCAGTATGTGAGTTTCAAGTAGCATCTGAAAGAAGTGCCATATTGTATTTCATTATCTGCAAAGCACACATCACTGTCCAACACATGCTTGGACACCAAACGATGTATAAAGAGTAAATCATGTTATTCTATTCCCAGGAATTAATTTCATATTTTGTTGTTGAATAGTTTGGTACCTTCCTCATGAATACACAGTCTCTAGCTGACATCCACAAACATGCATATATGGTGATATAGCAAAACCATTAACAGATGCCAACTATAGTTAACATTGTTGGGTTGGGCTTTGCTGAATTCCCGTGTCTGGCAATGATTTATCGGATAAATTACAATGTCTCCCTTTGACATATAGTTTATGTAAAACCCGATAAAAAAAAATATATATATTATTAATCCTAATAAAAATAAAAGGGTAAAATAATAATTAATTGTTAAATTATGGGTCAAAAACGTAAATAATAAAAAAAATAATATATCTATATATATATATATATAAGTGGAAGACAAAGTCTTCCACTTGTTGTGTCTTCTACTGCCGGCGAGAAAGAGTGAGTGAGAAAAAAAAAAAAAAGAGTTTTTTTTTTTTTTTTTTCTCTTTTCTTCCTTCTCAGATCTAGGAAAATTTAACCGTTTAATCGTTTCGGGCCAAGAACTAAAGTTGCTCTACTCAGCGAGAGCTACGCAACCACACCAAAGATCGTATTTTTCTTCGAAGGTATCTCAAAGTCGATAATCCAGATCTAAAACTTAGGAAGCTAAATTTGGGCTTCCTTGGTGTTCTTGTAAGTGGTCTCACGCTACGAGAGGTAGGGTTTCCCCTATTTAGATTTAATTTCAACTTAAAATATGACATATGGAATGAGTAGATTATGAGTGTATATCACATGTTAGGTCTTGACTAGTGGGTCAAATATAGAATTTATAATTAATCTTGTGATTAATAAAATTCTATTGTGATTAACTTGGTATAAGTTAATGTTAGTAGTTTAAAGCATGTTAATTGTATGTTAGCATTACTTTATATTTTAATGGAAGATCAAGTTTAATAAAATTATTAACTTGTTATATGATTGTGAAATAATATATATATGTTAAATGATTATTTAACATATGATTATTTTGGTGGACTTTGTGCTTATGTTAAACATGTTATCATGTTGCAAGTCATAGCATGCTAGTTGTGCAAATTGATGTGCTCTTTAGGTGTTTGATTAAATGCCTAGGTGAATACAAGTATGTTAGTTGAGTTGATTATGTTACATAACATGCTTGAGATCGTGTTAAAATGTCATTACATTGTATTTCATTATGCATGGGTTGCACTACATTCATGGGCGTTGACATGGGTGAGAGTGTATGCATGGTATGAAATCAATCACCACGTAGGTGGTTGAACGTGGACTCGGAAAAGTCGCACCAAGGTTCGGTTGAGTCGCACGAGAAATTAAATGGATAAATGTGTTGGGGACAACACGAAGGGCTAGATTCTCCCTCGGGTGCAAGACCCGCTTACTTGGTTTATACACTTTCCGGCGGTGAAATTCCAAAAAAGTGTAACGGCGGAAACGGAGCCGCAGGTGGGATGTCCTGAAGATCCGTTGATGGTTGGTGTCCCATTGGTGTAATACCATAAATCATCTCCCCACAAAGATACAAGAAAATGAATTAATTAGCATTGAGTGTACATAACACCAATGATGGGGGCTTGGAATGCTCGGATACATACGCATGACATTGCATGTGTTATGGGAGCTCAGGATGGGGCTTGGGGTTGGTATTGCTTGCGTGAGTCTCATCTCATGGCATGACATGACCTATAACATTCAATCATAATAGACATATTTAAATGAATGTATCAAATGATTGTTGCATGTGACATTCCATATTCATTTAGGTTGAGAGGTATTCTCTATAGGCGTTACCCTATTGAGCGTTAGCTCACCCTTTATGGGAACATTTTTCAGGTATCGCACAGGCTTCCACCGAAGGCGAGGCCATGGGCCCGCTTTGACGACAGAGCCGGTCTGTGGCTTTTCTTTTGACATTGTAGTCCCTTGTTTATACTTACTTTTGGCCTTGTATAATTTTTGTAACAAACATTATTTATATTTACAAAGGCATGTATATGAGATTCTTTTGGGACATTTATTCTTTTACGAATAAATGTATGTACTGATAATGATTATGGTAGTATTCGAGACTATATAATTGTGAATGGATAGATAGACCCGGTGTGGTCAATGTTGTACAGGTTGCGTTTTGGGTAGAGCTCCTTGTACAAAGGAGACTCTGTCCAAATTTTGTTAAGTTATGGATCCCAAGAAATAGGGCATAACGGTGTGGTATCAAATTACACGATATCCACCAGTATTACACAGGTCGATGGATAACCAATCGGATAATTACAGACACCCGGACTTTGGGGTGTCACAGTTTATTCCCGGCCACACCTAAAATGACACATGGATTTCAATGGAGATTTTTATATAGAATGATTTATTTACCATTTGTCAAAATTGGCAATTTGAGGAGGCCTGCACACCCAGGACTCCTAAGCCAGCAACAAGGCGATTGTAACTGCTGATCATGGGTCGAGTTGGCTTCAAAACCAGAAAGCTTCGTGCTTATTTAGTTTGTTTCTATCTGACCTGAAGTGAACTTGGCTTACATGTTGCTTCTAAACTTGGTATCTGGATTAGGTTTCCGCTGAAAAGGAAGCAACAATCAGTTTAATTGAGGATGGAAAGACAGGTTGTCTGAAACTTGAGACTGATCATGACAGCAGCAGAGAAGGCATAAGCGGAAAGTATACATCTACAACTGCTTACCATAGCAAACAAGAAACTAAATTAAATTGGACGGAAAAAAACATGGCCTCTTCCCCAACCTCTTTATATGATGCAGGCAACTCCCAAAGTACGACAATTGGACCATCAACCAGATTAGCCTCTACCTGGAAATCAATGAAGATAGGTTTAGAAACTTTTAAGTCCACTATTAGAAATTTTTAGTTATTTTTTTATCCGTCCAACCAAACACAAAACAAGAAAAACGTATCTTTCTTATTTTTCATCCGTGAAGAATAGAAAATGTATTTATCTTATTTTTTATCCCCCCTAACAAAATAGAGCATAAGAGATCTGTCTCACCTCTCCCTGCTTTATTTTCATCTGCTGTCCTTCACCTTTCATTTCTCTTTTTATAGTTTTGCTGTGTTGACCAATTATTTTGACCCATTTTTACTGAAGGAATATCATCACCACCAACATATCACTAGTACTCTTTTTTAAGTAATACTAATTAGTACAACTTGGCTAACCTTAATTTGGGTTAAATAATCTTGTGAAATTATAGTATAGATGAAACTCGACAATTTGTTCTGAATTTGATCTTCTTCTTCGATGCTTGAAAAAAAATTTAATTTTTCTTTCTTTTTTTAAGAGACAATAAGATTGTAGTGATTTTATCCGTATATTATATTATATATTTTTTATATTTTCATTCTCGAGAGATGTAAAAGAACGACCTAAGTGGAGAATTAAGCTCTTCCTCAACTTATTTATTTACAAAGACGGTTCGTAATAAATTCGAAGATTGTGGCAAATGTTAAATATCATGTAATAAATAATGTGTTCCTTCCAAAAAATGGAAAAAAACTGGTTATTAATTGTGCTCATAACTAACAGACAAACAGGCTCTTCGCTCTGTCGCATTTCCCGAAAAACCGGTTCACTCTGTAAAGCTTTGTAGTCCTAGAAGTTTCCGCCATTCACAACTAACAGGACGCAAAAACTCTCTCTCTCTCTCGCTCTCTCTCTTACCTATAAACACACACACGTACACAGAGAGTGAGAGGGCGAGAGAGAGAGACTGATTCAATTATCAAATCACATTTCATTCGGAGTCTCTCAAGTTTCTCTTTCTACAATGGAGAGCTTTGTACTCTGTTCTTCGTGGAAGAGTACCATAGCTTTTTCTACCTTCTCTCGCATCTCCTTACACCTTCGATCGCGCCCACAGTCATTTTCTCTCTCCAAATCCCCACCCTCCGTTTCTCCCAGACGCACGCCAATTCGCCCAATCTCAGCCCTCCGACCACCCCAATCTCTTTCTTCTCCCTCTCCCTCTCCCTCTCCACTCAACCCCGAATCTTTCCTGTTCAATCCTCTACCAAAACCCACAAAAACCCACAAACCAATAATCCAAGCCGTCGCAAGTTCGTCCCCACAACAAACCGAATCAAAAGCCCTTCAAGGCGCTAAGCTTTTACCGCTGATTTTCTCAGTGTCAGTTGGGATAATTGTCCGATTCATCATCCCCAAACCCCCGGAAGTTTCAACCCAAGCCTGGCAATTACTGGCAATTTTCCTCTCAACGATCGCTGGCCTGGTTCTAAGTCCATTACCTGTCGGAGCTTGGGCGTTTTTGGGTCTCACAACTTCGGTTCTAACTAAAACATTGACTTTTTCCACTGCTTTTGGTGCTTTCACAAATGAAGTGATTTGGTTAATTGTAATTTCGTTTTTCTTCGCTCGTGGATTCGTGAAGACGGGCTTGGGGGATAGAATTGCGACGTATTTTGTGAAGTGGCTGGGGAAGAGTACATTGGGTTTGTCTTATGGGTTGACTCTTAGTGAGGCCCTTATTGCTCCGGCAATGCCTAGCACGACTGCAAGGGCTGGCGGTGTGTTTTTGCCGATTATTAAGTCATTGTCATTGTCGGCCGGTAGTAAGCCGGGTGATCCCTCCGCGAAGAAGCTTGGGTCTTATCTGGTTCAGTCTCAGTTCCAGGTTAGATTTTATGTTGACTTCTTTATGGTTCTTGAATTGGATTGATATTGGAATTCTTATGTGTTGAATTTGTATGCTTGTGAATGTAGATCAATATGCATTTATTGTATATGAAAGTCTTAATTTACCATCTCCGTTACTTTTTCGTACAATTTCACTGAACGTTGAGCACCCACCGTGTATGGGTGAGTGATCTACATATAAATAAATGGATCTCACGTGAATACATGGTAGGTGATCTACCATTGAGTGAAATTATGTGAAAAAGTAATAGAGCGGATCTCAATCCGCTTATTTGTGGCCTGAGCTTGGGGATATTCTGGCTCAAAACTAGATATATTTGGAGAATTATTTCGAGTTTATGGTTTTTTTCTCTCTATCTGGGAGTTGAAAGAGTGATTGGGCTTTTAGGAATGTCTTGGCTGTGCTTAATATGAGGACAGTTTTCATGTTTGAGAGAAAATGATGCCACAGTTTGTATCAAAGAAAATTTGGCAAGATTTTTTATTTTAAATTATCTTTCGAAAGGAACCCTTCTAATTGAATATGCCATAATGGTGTCTAGTGTGCTTCCATTCTTAAATTAAGAATTCAGAAATATTATAAGAAAAATGTTAGTTTTCTTATAAATTATGCTGCTTACACTGTCATTTTCTTTGTTCAAATCCTTTGCAATCCTTAGGGTAATGTAGTTACATGGGTTCAGATGATTTTACCTTAGGGGCTTTATTGTTGAGATTTTAAGTTTTGTATACTATTATGCAACTATCCTCATGTTGACCAAAGGGTAGGGTTTATTCTGTTTGTCAATTGATCAATCAGTGAGGCCCTACATAAAACATTCTGTCTCGAGCAAATGTTCAATACGCATTTATTTCAATATTTGTGAAAAGATGTCTTATTCTATTTTTCATTTCAAATTTTGTCATTGACATCTCTGTTACTGATACATTGCTCTTTTATCGTGCATGGCAGGCTTCTGGTAATTCCAGTGCTCTGTTCCTAACTGCTGCAGCTCAAAATCTGCTATGCCTCAAACTAGCTGAGGAACTTGGGGTAATAGTTGCTAGCCCATGGATTTCTTGGTTTAAGGCTGCTAGTTTACCTGCATTGGTTTCTCTTTTAGCAACTCCATTTTTATTGTACAAACTTTATCCTCCTGAAACCAAAGATACACCAGATGCCCCTGCTATGGCTTCAAAGAAACTGGACCTTATGGGTCCTGTCACAAAAAATGAATGGGTGATGGTTGGGACAATGCTTCTTGCGGTTTCTTTGTGGGTCTTTGGGTGAGTACAGTGCCTTACTTCACATTGAATTATGCCATAAATTAGTAGATAACAATATTATTTCTGTTTGTCATCAATATAAACTCTTTGTCATGCATAAAGATAAGAAAGGAATGTTCAACTTTATAAAGCCATAGACTTCTTGTTAGATCATTTCCAAGAACAAACAATTGTATGGTTGTTTGTGGTGAAATTTAAATTCTACACATAACGTGGTGGAATGGTACTCATAAATGATTCCATGATAAGGTGGTGACTTGTATGCTCACCAGGCTCCTAAAATTTTAACTAGAAGCGAGAAGGAAGGAAAGGAAGAAAGGAAGAGTGAGAGAATATATCACTGGAACATGAGTACTTAGGGTGGATAGTATAGATTTAGTCAAGCATTCATTTTTCCTAAAACTGTTATATGGATTCCACAATGCAACAGGCTCAGCACTGTCTGTTTGATCAAAATCGAATGTAGAGTAAATGTTTTTCCAGGCCAGATATTTCTGAATTATTGCAGCAGTGGTTCATCACTTCTTTTGTATATGGAAAGAGACTTCTATTGAACTTATTTTTTGCGATCACAATATAGATTGAGTGATCATATATAAGGTTGTTTTCCTTGGAAAAGAGAATGAAATATTTACATGAGAGATGTTACATGAATCTTACCATGAAACCTTAAGCTGTCATTTCTTTCTTTATTATCTCAGCATTGATAATTTTGGTTACCTTACTGTCCAAAGCTATCATACATTCTTCCTCATTGGTGCAGTTATGATTTTTATTTGAATATGTTTAATCTGTGATAGTTGATTTTCTCTTAATTTATCTTGTATTGGTGCTCAACTAAGAGGTATGCTTGGATCACATAATACATGAAATGTCCTCCCCTTCTCAAATTCAAATGGCTTTAATTCTATGAGTAAATGTTCTCTCCGATCTCACCCTCCCTATGGGTACACTTCATATAACAATATTTTTTACAACTGGAACTTCAATCTTTACTACTTCCCGTTTAGATTTCTTCTTCTACTAAAATTACATTTGATATATTCAGTTTTAATTCTCCTTATTTGAAATCAAAATAATAGAGCTTCTATCCAAACTTCTTACTTTGTTGTTGATTTATATATTAGTTTCACCAATCAACAATATATCACCCACAAACCACATACATGATGGAACTTCATTATAGTTCAAGTTAGCCCTTCATGTCATAAGAGTGTGAAGTTTAAGCATACTTTTCGGGGTTGCTAGTGCAAAATCATATTTTTCATATACATATAGGCTTAGATTGCTGAAATGAGTAAAGAGTACACTTTAAACATTCTTTTGGAGTTTGACAGTATATAAATTGCATTTTCATTTCCATATATTGCTGAAATCATTGACATATTATGTGGGGAGAATATTTGTTGCTTAGCATTGTCGGTTTTCTCATGAACGTTAGCTGAAAATTTTGAAAGTTGTTGGCTGGATGTTCTCCTTTTTTACCTTGAATTGAATTTCTCCACACTGATATGGCTTGGTGTTACACAGAGATGCTCTTGGAATAGCAAGTGTTGTTGCTGCTATGCTTGGCTTATCAATACTCTTGCTGTTGGGGGTGCTTGACTGGGATGACTGCTTAAGTGAAAAGTCAGCATGGGATACTTTGGCGTGGTTTGCAGTCCTAGTTGGAATGGCAAGCCAATTAACAAACCTTGGCATAGTAACCTGGATGTCTGATTTTGTAGCTAAATCCCTTCAATCTCTTTCTTTGAGCTGGCCAGCTGCATTTGGTGTTCTTCTGGCGGCTTACTTCCTCATCCACTACTTATTTGCAAGTCAAACTGGTCATGTGGGAGCTTTATACTCTGCTTTCCTTGCTATGAACTTGGCAGCTGGGGTGCCTGGTGTGTTGGCAGCACTTGCTTTAGCTTACAATACTAATCTGTTTGGTGCTCTAACGCATTATAGCAGTGGTCAGGCTGCCGTATACTTTGGAGGTGCGTCCATTTCTTGTTTTGGTTGTGAAGCTTATGTATTTGAAAATTCATTTACACAACTTCTTCATCTGTCCCCTTCCGTTCTTTATGTTTGCAACGAATAAGTACTTTTTATTACTATCTATCAATTTATCTTTTGCTCTTTTTGTCTTTTTGGTTTCTGAGAAGGCGGAAAAAGAAACTAATATTTGAAATCTCCATTTTACACCGTGAATTGTATTCTTGTTTACTTCTTTTCCCTGATCTTATTGGCAACCAATGGAGCATTCATCTATATGAGATTACTAGTTATAACTCGTGCCTGAAGGTAGGATGAAACATAAGATTCTAACGTTCAAAAAATTGATCACATTATACCAAATTAAAAATTAATTTATTTGTTTACGTCATTTAAAATTAATTTCAGCGTCAAAAATTTATCAAAATGCATAATTCGACAAATTTTTTTCAACATGTATATACTATCGTGTATGGATAATGTATGAAATAAAAGTTGTGTTAAACTACAAATTAACTAAATATTAAATGATTAAACATGGGATAGAATTGAGTGATGTGATGTTTTTTTGGGAGAAAAATGTATAGGAGATAAAGATTCAACTTGCTAGTTGATTTATTATATAGATGTAAGTTATGATTAATGTCTATAGAATTTCGATTTTGTTGTGCTAGACTGATTTCTGTCTCTTTGTTTCGTGTCGACAGCTGGCTATGTAGACCTTCCAGATGTATTCAAAATGGGTTTTGTAATGGCCCTTGTCAATGCCGTGATATGGGGAGTTGTTGGGACTTTCTGGTGGAAGTTCTTGGGCCTGTACTGATTTTCAATTTCCTTGGATGCGGATTTTTTTCTGTGTCATATGGTGCCATTCATTTCCCAGCAGGTTTGAGCAGAGCAACATTCTCTTCTGATCACAATTGCCAAAATTTTAGTTTTGCCCTTCTAGTTTGGGCTCATTGTCAGCATTACTCTAGTGGAACAATGGCCATTGAAATTTCAAAGATGAATACAATTTTAAGAATAGAAGTTTGAGAAATGATGGTTATGTGAATCGTGGTGCCTCTAATTGCATACATGACCCTGAGTGAAGGCTCCGTACGAGTAATCTTCCCCTTTGTTATTGCATAAACAATGGCATTATCAGCAGTGACAGGTACAGACTTCTTTGTACCTTGTTTTCTTTACATTTTAGTAAGGCAATTTTGTAATTGGTTGGGAATAATTGTGCTTATTGATCGACGAAAGATATTGATGAAATAAATACACATTGCTGGAAAGATAAAAAAAACAGCTTTATGGGCTGTCGTGTTATTGCAGAAAGAATGCCATGAATGATGTTCCTTTGTAGAAGATTTGTGATTGTAATCCAATTATGATGTGCTAGTGCTTCCATACCCTTTTTTTTCCACCGAAGAGTAATGTGTTGCGTTGCGAGCACTACATACGCCAACTCTTTCCCCACGGATAATGCTCCAACATCCAGTGGCTTCGTTATTGAGAATATGACGAATTTGATCTGGACCATGCAACAGAAACTTTCTCCTTCATTCCAGAGGCCATTGAAGATATTCTCCAAGGGAAGGTTGGTTGTCTATTTTAACTGTCTTGTTATGAAGACTGCAGAAGTTTTATGTTTCACTTACCGTTCTGTGTCTACTTTTTAACCCTTTCAAAAAATAGAAACTCTCAATATTTGAGTTGGACTTGAAAAAATCATAACCCGACAACACTCGAGTTGGGGTCTTGGGTTCTACAACCCTAACCTAAACCCAACTTGAACCGGTATTTGTGTAACTTGACAATGAAATTTGGGTTGATCCAGAATTCAAACTCGAGCTGTCTAGCTTAGAATCAAATCCCATTCTCAATCAAAATTGGACATGGATTTCAGTCTAGATAGTACAATTGAAGTTCAAAATTTTATGCATCAGGAATAATCGAGTTCCGGTTGCATTGGGTTTGGTTTGAACTCGGGTTAAGTGATCTCTCCACCCATCTTTCAGATGGAAATCCAAACATCCAATGGTTCAGATTTCTCATTGATCACCTTCACTTGCATGCTCAAACTCTTTGCAGTAACTGGATTAAACACCTTCACATTGTACTCTCCATGAGAAATGGCATCCTCAAAAACACCATTCTTATCTGTCGCTCCCTTCAAGTTTCTGGTCTTCCACTCTTGAAGCAACTTGTCGACGACATCGCCGGACGGCAAGTTCTTGAATCTGTTGTCATGCAGGCACAACTTGGCGCAACCTTTCGGCAAGGTGTCGTAGTTGTTGTTGTTTAAGCAGGTGTCATTGCAGTTTGTTGGTTTCCACCCTGCAAACACTATGATACCTCCAACAGCAGGATGTGAATAGGCCTCCCTCATAATTTCTTCCAAGTAGTCAGCCTATAAATTGACAGAAGTAATGTAATCCCAAGTCCATTAAGAAAAACAAATAAACCAAGTTAGAGATCAACCGGACTTGGTATACAAGACTCCCATTCATAGCTCTGGTTGAGACTGACAAGTGGTAAATAATAGGTCTGTTAGCGGATATGGTTAGACTGTGATCGATCTAAGTCCTAATTGGATATAAAGACTTGAACTCGTATTTGATATGAATGTCGAATGAATTTCATTTTCATAATTCACATCCGAATCCATTGAGAAACAAAAATCTGACTAAGAATTGTGCCTAAGTTTTAATTCAATTTTATTAAATAATCATTGTATTTTATAATATATATATATATAGGGAGCACCCACCCTATCGAAAATGACGAGCGGCTCTACTGTTTATCAAGCCGGTGGAGTTTGTTGGCGAAGTTGGCGAAGTTCCTTCCCTACTCTGTCCCTGTGGGAACTCCGATGGAAGTCTAAGGCTCTTTCCGGTTATCACGGCGGTCAAAACCCCTGCTCTAGTATCTCCTTGGAACCCAAAGCCTTCTTCAACTTATCTACGTAGTGTTTTTTTGGTTTGTTAGTATAGTTAGTCTATTGTTTTATTTTTTAATGATTGTTATAGTACGTGTGACCCGTTAGAACTGTCTGAAAGTGGAAGATATATATATATATATATTTTTGAATTGAATCAAATTATAATATAATTAGATATTGATATATTCATATTCGAAATCATGAAATAGGATATAGAGATCATTGTTAAAAATATTATCCTCAATCAACTAATCGGGTTGGGATTCAAGTTAAATTTCGATCAATCTTACTCTCATTTTGGAGAAACTGATTCTCTGATTCAAACCCACGACGTATCACTTAGTTAATGAGCACCTTATCATCGTTCCAGATCGGACCTCTAACCATACTTGTTATCCAAACAACACTAAACAAAATAAAAACAATACAAGTTACCTGATTGGGACATCTCTGCACATCCAATTCTGTTAGCCAAATGGGCATATTGATAGCTCCCAAAACATCCAAGCAAGCACGCATGTAAGCTATGTTTGGCTCATGCCTATCAAAATGAGCTTCCAATCCAATTCCAACCACCATTTCTTCATTTCCCGGCAAAGATCTAATGTTCGTAATCTTTCTCAGATACTCCGACGGCGTCGCAACCATGTCATGTGGTTGCTCTAAAGTGTTGAACTCATTCAAAAACATTATTGCTTCAGAATCAAGTGCTTGTGCTATCTTGAAGAACATTGCAGAGGCATTTGGTCCTATTCTTTCCTCGAAGAATGAGTGGTGTAAATTCTCATTCATGACATCCCAACCCATAAGCTGGCCGGAATATCTTGACATAACGGAACCCATTCGCCTGACCGATGCGCCGAGAAGTTCTCTGGGGGATAAAGATTTGACCCAGTTCATGTTGTAATCTGGATCATCCCAGAATATGTTGTGGCCTCTCACTGAAATACCATGCTGTTTGGCAAAGGCAACCATTGCATCTGGAACACTGTAATTTTCATGTCCTTGATCTTTCTCTGTCCAGTACCTGTTATGTAATTGTTTTTTTTATGTATTTAAAAATAAAGATTAGAGCAAGGACCAAGAGTCTTTTGTTTCGGAGCATAGTTTCGATATTTCGTTTCTGTTTTTAATTTCTCATCGTTTCAATGGAAAAGAAACGAAATTTTAATCTTTAGCGTAGAGTTTGTTAATAGTAGGTTATTTAGTAACTCGTTTAGTGGTGTAAGTTTTTTAGGTAGTTAATTAGATAGTGAAGTCACGGGATAGTTACAAAAGTAGTTTCTATCATCTTTTTTTTTAAGCCCTACTATCAATGAAAAAACTAGAGCTTTTTATTCAATCCATGTAGTTTTTTGAAAAAAAATTCAAACCCAAATTATTTTGAAAGTATTTTTTAAATTCAAGTAGTTTTTAAAAACAAACGAAGTCTTTATTAAAAATGTCATTTCAACTAACACGTTCATGGTCAAGTCCAATCCAATTAAGTCCACCACAACCACGCAATGACGTCTTCGGTGCTTATACAATTTCTCCTTTAAAATCTCAAACAAACTTAAATTTTAGAAATCACAAAATTAATTGTAGAAATCTTGCATTACCTCATTTACCATGTTTTTAGCAATTTTATCCAATCAATTCTAAGAAAACATCAGTTGGACAGACGTTTTCCAAAATTGCTTGAATTTGAAAAATAAGATTAAAACTAACCTCTTTTGGAAATTATTTTCTCAAACTGCCTAGTTTTGGAAAAAAACTAGGTTGCATTTGATAAATAACTTTATCGTAAAAGTTTTGAAAGGGGTTCTCCTCGAATATCTCCTGAAAAAGTGAGAGTAACAGTACCATTTCATTTCATTATCGAAAGAGGTTGCAGTGTGGCTAAATCTTGAGATGAACCAGTCCTGATAGGCCCTGTTTTCTATAATTGAATCGGTGAGTGCACAGCCAAGGGGGAAATAAGGCCTTTTCTGCTCAATGGTGATTTCTACACCTTTGAGCTTCTTCCTTTTCTTGTCGGCAACATGTATTCTCACTTTTCTCTTTCTTATCTGCAGAAATTAAGCTCATGATTCAGTAACTTTTGTGTATAGTAGAAGAGACATTTCATTAGCTTACAGATGAGTTTACTTTTACCTTCTCTATGTTCTTTGATTGTTGGTCTCTCCACTGTCTTTTGGTAAATGGTTGCAGAGAAACATTGTCTACCCATAACTCGATATTGCTGTTTTTACTCTGTACAAATTGGAAAATTAATCAGAATCGATCAAATGAGATGCTTATTATCTACATACATACATATGCAGAATTTTAAGGAATCTATCTCTAGCATTAGAGTTTGTAAACCGAGTTGTGTTGTGTCATGTTTGTATCACGTTGTGTTGGTTTTGAGTATTATCTAGCACATCAAAAATTTAAGACCAGGACTCGTTTCTCTTGATGAAACCCACCACAACCCATGTCTCCTATATGCCAAATATCTACTTGATTCATATAGTAGCAAAACCAAGTGAGAAATCCTCTAATTCTCTACTTATGTAGGTATTAACCGATCAATAGGTAGAAACAAAATAGAAACTTCTCATACAATACCATCAGTTTAAAGATAATCAGTATCAAAATCAGTCTATTCATGTTTGAACTTGCGTTATAAGTTAATTATTCATGTTTACGGTATCTCCTAATTACATATTGTGTCCGTGTGACGTTAACATATGGCATCGAGCATCAAAAATTACTACACTCTCAGTCTAGCATACCGTAAAATAGAGCTCTGCTGGCATAGTGAGATTAACAGAGAGTCCTCCTTTTAGCATAGACCAGCAGCCAAATTGAGCTATGACAGAGCCCACTATCTTTGTTTCATTATACCAAGTTTTAAATGCAGCAATCACAGTGTCACTTCCTTCACTAATTTGTACCCAAGCTGAAAAAATTCCAAACTCATGTCATAACTCAACACAAAAGGTATGTAAAGTCTAAAAGGCGAAAATGGTAGGCAGTTTTATCTTTGTTTTGGAAAGACTGATTCTCTGGAATTATTGTTAGAAACTAGAGACTAAAAACCCAAGAAAAAAATTCAAAATGTTCATGAATTACCTGAAAATGTGTGAAGAAGCCCTTCCTCTAAATATATGTGTTGTGAGAAACTATCATTAGACTGAGTTCTATTATAAGCCACAATAAACTTGTTCCCAGTCTTAGAAGTTCTTTCTTCAATTTTGCCTTTTCCAAAAACCTTCCATCCTTCTAAGCCATCATCAAACTTTGGGTTTGCTACGAGTCCTCCTTCATATTGAGGAGCAGAAGGACTAATCTGGCACTGAAAACATCAGGGAAACATGATAAATATTGCTAGGGTTGATGGCACATATGAAATTATACAAACAATTCACTTGTTCTATTTCTCTTGCTTCTTTATAATTATTCCCACTAACTATTCAAAAATAGCATCATAATCTAATGGTTCCAGTAATCTTTGTTTTAGATGTCTTTGCACTAGGTTTCAATTCTCATCCGATCCAACATAAAACCCTTCGGATTTTAAATTTAACCCTTTAGATTTCACACACACAAACATGCGAGTGCGTGGCAGAGAGAAGCAGCCATTCTCTTGTTTCCATTTGGAAAACTTTTCAGTAATTCTTATCATTTATGGTGAATTTTTTCCATTGTGTTTTGCCCGTGAACATAGACTGCTAAATGTGGGCTAACCCCGTAATATTGTGTGCTATGTGTTTTTCTTCTTTTTTCTTTAGGTTTCATTCTACTACAGTACTACTTATTTGTGATCTTGTGCATAGCAATATTGATTGATGAAAGTCCTGTCTTTGATTGGGGTGGTCTACTACATTCAAATACAATAATAGCCTTCTATATGACTTTATGCTTTGGTGGAACTTAGGTAAAGCATTGTCTCATTCACAGAAAAAAAGAAAGGAAAAAAGTATTACTGTTACCTCTATGCTTGCAGAGTAGTTGTAGGTTGAAGCCTCAATATCAAAACCTATATGAATCAAAAGAGTAGAAGCTCAAGCTTAGTCCATCCCAAACAGACAAACCAAAAATGTTCATCAAAATTTGTGGGTAATCGTATCTCTAATTGAGTCGACCCACCATGGGCGCCTAACCCCAATCCAAGTCCATAACCCAATATTTAACAAAATCTATTTTGGTGAAAATCCATTGAGGTTCAAACCTCAAATCTACAATTGAGTAAGCAGATAGTGTCTGCTGGGGAAAAAGGCATGAAAAACAAATCAACCTGCTAAAAGTAGGAACCACAACAGCAGTAATACTTTGTTTTCGAGGTAAACCTTCATTTTTCTCTAGCATGAAGCTCCTGAAAGAAAGAAGTCACAATTAGCTCGTGCTTTCAACATAATCTTTTTTTCAAATTTTGGTTCAAACCACACGCCTTTTGGACTTGTGGTTATACTATAAGCTTAAGAGGTACGAAATCATCCATATACAAAACGTATCAAGTCAACGAGAGCATCTTGAACTGGGCACACAATGTATTAAACCCTAAAGTCTATCCTTCCAAACTAGGTGTATTTGCTTTTAACGTGATTTAGTAGAAAAATTGACAACTACTAACAGTATAGTTTAAAATTGAAGAATCAAACTAGAGAAACAGTCTCTTCTGATACCATGACTATGTTATATCTCTTGAATTTGAGAAAAAATTTGGAGAAAACTATTCACAAGATAGAACAGCAGTACCTCTATAACCTCACCTGTGATAATAACCTTCTACTCTCTCCTTTCCCTTCTTTGTAGGTTTGTTGTAAGTGAGGCTTTGGACTAAAGATGTATCTATAGACTCATATTTGTAAACTTGGATGTTTTGAATTCAAAACTTGACAACCTTTTAGGGTCAAGTCATATAGTCCCGGTATGGATGGTCTGTCCTTGACCAGACCGGGTAGGGTTGCGTGTAATTTGGCCCAAACACTCCTGACTATTGAACCAAAAAAAAAAAAAAAAACTCCGACCCATCAACACTCCAACCGTACTAAAACTTAAATACTCCAAGAAGTTTAGATTTTATGCCTAGATTTAATCCTACTAGATTGATTCTTAATTATTTTCTTGAACTACTATATTCAAGTAATTAAAGCCAAATCTATAAGCCTAATAGTCTGTTAGGATCCTTGTTTATCAATTATGACTTTTTCATCTAATATTAAATGTATGAGACAAACTTACTATGGATTTTTGGATGATATCCTAAGATATGCCAACACTTCTAGTGGGAGAGAATTGTGTTTCACCATTTCTAATCTCAAGGAATTTTCAATTTCGGATGTTTCTAAAATTTTGTTAGACGCTGAAAACTATTTGAAGCTGAATTTTTTGAGTGCGAAACAAAGGTTTGAAAAATGAAATGAAAAAACCAGAATTAAAAAAGTTTTTAAAACCGTTTGAAGTGTTTTTGAAAAAGCCGAATTTTCCCTAGAAGCCCTTGAATAAGGTTCATTTTTTAGTTTTTCTTTGGTGCTGATAAAAACTGTTTTTGTCCAAAAAATTTGATGAAAAAGCCGCCAAATTAGTTCGGATCCAAACGAATCAAACTTTTTTTCCTCTAAAACCAAAAAAACTGAGGTTTTAAGCAAACTCTAAACAAACCAAATATCAACTAATACACCATTATTAATCGAGGGATGACCATATTTATCATAAAATGGCACCCTATTTGTGTATGATTTGACTAGGGCCTAAAAACCATATTTTTTAATGGTCATGCAAGATCAAGAAAGTAAATTTACCCAAACAAATAATGAAGCAAGTTTCTAATAATGAAAACCTAGAATTTGGTGTCTCTAGTCAAGCTTAAGTTTGAGCCAAATTGAATTATCAAGTTTAAATTCTTGTTTAAGCTTGGTCTAAACAAGTGTTTGACAGGAAAATTAGCATGGTTGATAAGCATGAAGTTATTCGAGCCGTGCTGAGTCTACTTGAGATGATTTACGCGTTATTCAAATACAAGTTGTTTATAAAATGAACTTAGAAATCTAAACATATTTAGATTATTTTACAATTCAAATGTATTTGAACTAGTCAAAAAAACTGTATTGAGTTCGAGCTACTCAGACTTTTTAATAACCCTACCAAAAATCATTACAGGGTTGAGGCCAGGCTCCCCTCCATTGTTTCTTTTCATGCTTATATAGAGGCACTAAGACGGTCGCAAAAGGATAAAGAAAGTAAGAACCTTTATTTGCAATCTGGCAAGTTGTAATTTTATATGTAGAGCCGCCGAGTTTGAGTGTGTAATCGGTCCAATCCGAGACAAAAAAAAAAAAAAAAGAATTAGTTATTATTAGAATTTAGCCCCTAATATACAAGATAGATTCAAATTTGACCCAAAAGCTTAAGGTCAAACTCCGATAAATTTGTTGTAAACTTTATATATATATTGACCCAATTCGGTTTATGGATCTTACCGATGTTCACAAAGGCTCCCCCTTAAGCTCTTCATAGATAAGTTGGATTTAAGCTTGACTTGAAAATGTATAGTTGGAGAGAGTTCGTTGCACATTTTGTATATTAAGCCATATCTATTTTTTGACACGTTGGATGTGTCTTGCACCTCTCACATCCTTTTCATATCTTTCGAAATTCACCCTACAATATGAGGTTGAAAATTGATTGGCCTAACAACCCAACCTTAGTGGCTCCATAGAACCTCATCCTAAAACCCTAATGTGGGTTTCAATTTTGGTCATGATCTAGATGACATGAAGCGGAAGCGAGAGCAAAAAATTTTTAAAAAAAAATTGAGAGCGAGGGTATCATTGAGAACACCAAATTTATATATATGACATTGTGATGCACATTGAAAAAAAAAAATGTCAAAGTATTAAAAATGAGAAAGATAATTATTTATTAGTGTTACAAAAAAAACAATCACACGCACACAGACAGAAGAGGCTTTGATAGAAAGCATCTGTAGACTATGACCAATGTTAAATAGCTTCACAGCTGTGTGATTGGGCCTCAACTTTCACGGATTATAATTATAAAATTAATAAATTTCAAAAATTAAATCCGTGAATTTGGGATTGTTTGATAATAAAACTTATGGCTTAAAATTGAATACTTTAAGTAGTTGATAAATTAAATTTGTTTGATAACCCATATATATTAAGATAAGCACTTATTAAAAATACACTAAAATTTTAAAGAGCAAACTATTTATTTATCATTTAATATTGAAAATATTAGTCAATAAAGATTTTATCAATTCCTTATAATGGACAATTATACCCTCAATCAATTTTGCACTCTTAAGTTTTCAATACACACCATCCATCACAACCACCACCATTGTATTGTCGCCGTCACCACCTCCAATGCCACCATTGTGCCGCCACCCACCATCATTGTACTATCATTACCATCACCATTACTGTTATTATTATTGTGACATCACAACTACCGAAACCATCATTGTGTCACTGTAACCACCATTACCATTTCGTCACTACAATTATTGTGTCGTCGCCATTACCATTATTGTCACTATCACCATAGTTGCCATCACAATTATTGTGCCACCATCATTACCACCAGTACCATCACCACAACTACCTTTGTGCCATTGCCACCACTATCATCACAAACATTATCGTAGCTACTACTACCATTATCATCATTATCACCATCACAAATAGTTTGATTCAATTTAATACTTAAATTTCAGTTAATGTCAAATAATTTACAAATTAAAAAATTCAACGTTAAATATTTAAAATTTAACATTTAATTTTCAATTTTATCAAATATTACTTTGTTATCGTTCAAAATATTAATTTATTGAGGTAGATGGACGAATCATGTCATCTAGATTGTGACAGCTTGATCATGTCGAGCATATTAGTCGTTAAATTTGGAATATGTGTCAACCGTATCACCTTTATGATTACAAAAAAACACCAAACGTTGAAATTAAGAAAAGCGAAGTAATTTTTGTAAAATTCCAAAGTAAACAGTGACTACCATGGAAACAAGTTATGGTGAGTCAATTATGTGACCACTGTCTACAACGTTAATAACACGTTTTCATTGACAACACATAGTTTGTTCACCGACTGCACATTGATTGGCTAAGTTCAAGGTCTATCTCAAATTATAAGTCTGGTCTGAGTTTATAATCTGTCTCTAAGAAATTCAACAACTCCAATTCAATATGGTCAAACTCATTAAGTTAAAGGAGTTACATTAACAGGGAACACACAAGATCATTCAAGGCCTCGTCCTCACCGCCTTGGAGAGAGTCAACCCTCACCTTATCTTTTGACCGAGTCTCATGGAGAGTATTGTAACCGCTTCGCCCGTTAAGAAGATGTTGTCACCTCCGTCAGATCAGCTATTTAATTACTATTAAATCACCACAATCCGTTATGACCACCAGACTAACTATTCAATTACTATGCATTATGAGACGATTATAAATTGTAAACCCCGCAAACACTTGGAGGCATCATACTCAGTCGAGCACAATTCTCTTCTCCCTCTCTAAGCTTATAACTCTCTACTCTCTCTGCACACTTGAGTTAATAAAATATCTGGCAATCTTTGTCATTCAAAATGGACGTAAGTCACATTGATCGAACCACTATAAATCTTGTCTTCTCTATCCCTCTACTTACTACATTTTGTACTGCTTACTTAACAGATGGTGTACAAATTAATCTGTGCATCATCACACATGTAAAAATAAACGTGAAAGATTGTTAATGAATAGTGATATTATTTATAATTAATGATGTGATATTTATCATTGCATAAGTATTACTTTGCATAGGTCTACCTAGTACCCTTTCCATTACAATGGTCGGGTGTTCAAATCTCGTCACTACTATTAATGTTTATCCTTTAAAAAGTTTGCAGGCGATGAGCTTTGAATGATGAATGATGAATGATGAATGAGTGTCTTAAGATGTTGTGTTTGTATTTAACCAATTATTTTTATGTAATTTATTTCAATCGACCCTTCCTATTAAAATTAATTGTTAAATAAGACAAATTAACCATTAATCTTAACATAATTTATCTCATTAGCAGTTAATCTTAACACAATCTATCTCATTTATTAGTTGATCTTAATGGAAAAGGTTGATTGAAACAAATTAAATAGCTCAAAGGACAAATTGTGAGAATTGAAAATTCAAGAGGCAATTTAAAATAAAGGTCATAGTTTATGGGACCTTTATGCGATTTATCTTAAATATTACATAAACTTTCTTCTTTTATTAATATATTTTGTACCAATCCCTAATTGGACAATCTTATTTATCAAAAGTTAAAATTAGCCAACATTAATATTTTGAATCCCTTTTCTTAGTTGATAAAGATTCTATTGGGCCCACATAGTGGATGGGTTCTCACTCTAAGAGCATATTCAACTCACTCTCGATTTCTTCTCTTTTAACTACTTTAACTAGTTAAACACAAAAACTTTTCTCCAACCCACTCTCTATTTCTTAGTTAACCCAAATGGCTCACTAAATATGGTAAGTCATTTGAGCTCTCTAAATTCTCTCTCTACCTTTTTTTCTCTCTATCTCTCTCTATATATACATTTTACTTTTTTTAAATTATTGAAAGTTAATCAAAGTTGGGTGTAGTAGTTAGCTAAAATAGAGATTATGGTTGAAATGAATTTATAAAAGTGATTAGTTAAAATAGTGAATGTAATATTTAAATATATTTTGACTAACTATTTTAAAGAGGAGGATTGAAGATGCTCTAATATACCTGGGAGTCGTTTGATTGTAGTATTAAATGATGGATTTACAGAATCATAATAGATTAAAACTCTTTAATCCAATCTTATATTACATTTAGTCGCAAAAAATACTTTGTATTATATATAATTTTATTTCAAATACTTATTCAAATAATATACTCTATCCATACTATTGAGCCAATTATAAAATCACCTAAGGAAAGTGATATTATAGTCTAATTCAAGTATAAATTTATTATTTTATCGGTCAAATAAACAAACAAGATTGATAATTTTTTTGTCAATATGTATTTGGTACTCTATTATCCAACTCTTAATTCTCGGTGTCTTACTAAACATTGGATTACATTGCGTAGTATTTATGTCTTATATTTAATCCGCTTATACAAAATTAATATGTATTATTTAATACAATTCATATTTTTATAATACAGTAACCAAACCAGCCTATATAGTAACAGTAATACTACGCTGATTAAATTTTATAATCAAATTAAGAACCTAAATGATATCAGAGCATATTATTTAGAGTCTTTATTGAGACCCAAATGACTTCACACCAAATATAGTAATTACTCAGCAATTTCCCAGTTTGAAACAAAGGAAAACTTTATTAAATACCAAACTTTTAAAAAACAAAAAAAATCATAATCATCCAACGGTATTATTCATCATATTGATGTTGAAATCCACGTGTACGGTTTAGATTGTTCTGAAGAGTATTTCTTAGTGGAGAAGCACTCATTAATTTAATTAAACCCCCTTAATCAGCAAACACTTTCTCTCACACACGTAGCCTAAACCGCGTTTTTTACACTTAATTAGAAAACTTTCCATCTCCAATTTGGAAAAACCATCTCTTAGGCCCTCATTGCCGTCTGATCTCTCCTCGAGATCCGTGTCAAGAAAGAAATTCGTAATCCAACGGTGATTATGCGAGGTAGACGTACCACACTACTAAGTCCTCCAGTGACAACAAATCTTCTCAATTCTCATGATCTCTCCCCCCATATATACCAACGCACCACGTTCCTTTCCTTCCACAACTCTCTACTCTCTCTACTGTGTGCTTTTTCAAATCTCTCTCTCTCTCTCTCTCTCTCTCTCTAACAATGGCGTACTCGAAGGTTATGGTTTCGATGTTAGTGGCATTGTTCTGGGGACTTGTGGTCGCTAAGTCTCCGTCAGCCGCACCATCACCGCTGGTATCTCCAACGACAGCAACATCACCAGCCGCCGCTCCTCATGCTCCAACACCGTCACCCACCGTAGAGCCACCATCCGCCACTCCAACTCCTACGCCGGCTCCAGTCCTCTCTCCTTCTCCAACAAAGACTCCACCAGCGTCGGCTCCTTCTCCGGCCACCGTGATCTCTCCACCATCTCCTCCGACAGTATTGCCTCCGTCTCCGTCTCCTTCGATCGCGTTGCCTCCGTCTGATGTAGCTCCGGCACCGAACGGCGCCTTTCTGGACAGATTCTCCATTGGATCTATCGCCGTCGGCTTCTTGACCGTCGCTTTGATTGCGTAGACAGCCTAAAAGAATTTATTTTCTTGCTTACAAAGTAATTATTTAGTGGGATTCTTAAGATTTTTTTTATTGCTCATAGAGTAATTATTTATTTGTATTTTTCATTCACTTTAGATTATTTATTATGTTTATGTGATGACTAGTTGCCCGTTATGGTTACCGTCACCGTCACTGTCATTCCTATTTGAATCGCCGCCTAGTGAGATGTTGAAATTGAATTGGAGGAGGTCACTTAAATTATTCAAAACGATGGGAAAATAAAATTTATGGATACAAAGCTTCTCAAGCACCTTTTAGTATATAGTATTAGGATTTGAATTTTGAATGAGTTGGTTTTATCTTTTTGATTTGTTGTGTTTAAATTAGGATTTAAAGGCTGTAGAGTAGATCTGATAATTCTAGACACGACTTGTAAAACGGACACGAATCCAACATAGATTTAACGGATTTTGGGTGTAATTTTAACGGGTTCAGGTGGTTAATGGAACAGACCCGTAAAATAAATGAATTGATTTTGTGTTTAACTCATAAACTCGTTTTAATCCGTTAATAGTTGTACTATAATTTGTTTTTAAAAAAAGTTAGGTCTTTGAACCTTTGTTTCATCTCACATCTCACATCTCCCATCTCTTAAACTCTTTTAAATTTAGTAGTCATTTAATATTTATTTTTTGTCTTTATTTTTTTGCTCAACCTTGATTTATTGTTATAGTAAATAAGTCAAACATGTGTAATGTGTAACAAATTGATGATTTTTCGTGTGTACTCAAAATACTCTAACCTATTATCTTATTTAGCAGATGACACACGGGTTATATCGGGTAACCCGTCTAATAAATGATTCGTGTATGGATGTAATAGTTGGACTCGTTTATATAAACGAATAAAATATGGATTGAGAGTTTTTTAACACAAACTAGTTCCACTCGACACAATTGGCAAGCCTGCTGTAGAGTATGTGACAGAAACATCTTTTCTAGTTACCAAAACATAATTCTTTTCTAAAATTTTAAGGTAGTTGAGAGGGAGTATGATTGGATTCCGTCACCGTACTATTTAAGGTTGTTAATTTATCTCATGAAATCTTCCCGCATAACCTACCCTCACCTAAGGTGCAATTCGGGCAGGTTGGACAGTCAACCTTGACTCAATCCTAAGTATATAATCTTCAACCCTAACCCTAATCCTAACCCTAACCCTACCTCGGGTTGAAAAACTTAACCCGACCACTGCCCGAGTTTAATTTGGACAGGCTCCAGTTGAATTCGGGTTAATAATTTCGAACAAATTTCGAGTTGATTTTAAGTTATTTTACGGGTTCAATTCGGGTTGAGTTCAGATAAATCCTAAAATAGACTTGTTGTTCTAAACCTAGTACATATATTACATAATATTCACCTAAATTAACAACCAATAATTTCAACCAAGTTTTTAATTGTGCTAATGCTAGAACAAAAATGAAAATAAACGAGAGAGACAGAGAAGGATAAAACAAAAATGAAAATTATATATATTTTTTTTTTTAATATGTTGGGTTCGGGTTGAACCCGTGAACCCGAGACCTTAACCTAAGCCCAACCAAAATTGAATTCGGGTTAGAATTTTTTGGCCCAAGTCCAACCCAAATATTAAAAATCTTTGCCTAAACCCTACTTTTTTCGGGTTGAAATCGGATTACCCAACTCAAATTGCACCCCTACCCTCACCTGACTGTATTGTTTTGTTAAGGTTTAAAGGAATTATCATAAAAAATGGGATCGAAATATAATATAACAAAACTGTAAGATGGTTATATAATTCATAATTCAGAGGTCTTCAGAAATAAAATTAGATTGGCTTTAACAAATTAAAAATGAATAAATCAATATGTTAATGTGCAAACTTATAGGATATACAACACTTTATAATAGTTTATGCATTTGCTGCTATTCATAGACAAGCAAGTTAAAACTCATCTTTTCCATGTCCTCCTTGTGTGGAAGAGGGTCATAGACTTAGAGTGATGTGAACAATCATGGCAGAGTTCGTTTCTGCACTACTTTTCACCATTTTCCCCTTCTATGATCTTTTTAATGACAGACTCAACGAATAGAGTATGAATTGAGAGTTTTTTGACATAAACTCGTTTCACTCGACACAATTGGCAAGCCTGCTGTAGAGTATGTGACAGAAACATCTTTTCCAGTTACCAAAACATAATTCTTTTCTGAAATTTTAAGGTAGTTGAGAGAGAGTATGATTGGATTCTGTCACCGTACTTTTTAAAGTTGTTAATTTATCTCATGAAATCTTTCCGCATAACCTACCCTCACCTAAGGTGCAATTCGGGCAGGTTGGACAGTCAACCTTGACTCAATCTTAGGTATATAATCTTCAACCCTAACTCTAATCCTAACTCTAACCCTACCTCGGGTTGAAAAACTTAACCCGACCACTGCCCGAGTTTAATTTGGACAGGCTCCAGTTGAATTCGGATTAATAATTTCGAACAAATTTCGAGTTGATTTTAAGTTACTTTACGGGTTCAATTCGGGTTGAGTTCAGGTAAATCCTAAAATAGGCTTGTTGTTCTAAACCTAGTACATATATTACATAATATTCACCTAAATTAACAACCAATAATTTCAACCAAGTTTTTAATTGTGCTAATGCTAGAACAAAAATGAAAATAAACGAGAGAGACAGAGAAGGATAGAACAAAAAAAAAAATTATATATAATTTTTTTTTTAATATGTTGGGTTCGAGTTGAACCCGTGAACCCGAGATCTTAACCTAAGTCCAACCAAAATTGAATTCGGGTTAAAATTTTTTGGCCCAAGTCCAACCCAAATATTAAAAATCTTTGCCTAAACCCTAATTTTTTCGGGTTGAAATCGGATTACCCAACTCAAGTTGCACCCCTACCCTCACCTGACTGTATTGTTTTGTTAAGGTTTAAAGGAATTATCATAAAAGATGGGATCGAAATATAATATAACAAAACTGTAAGATGGTTATATAATCCATAATTCAGAGGTCTTCAGAAATAAAATTAGGTTGGCTTTAACAAATTAAAAATGAATAAATCAATATGTTTATGTGCAAACTTATAGGATATACAACACTTTATAATAGTTTATGCATTTGCTGCTATTCATAGACAAGCAAGTTAAAACTCATCTTTTCCATGTCCTCCTTGTGTGGAAGAGGGTCATAGACTTAGAGTGATGTGAACAATCATGGCAGAGTTCGTTTCTGCACTACTTTTCACCATTTTCCCCTTCTATGATCTTTTTAATGACAGGCTCAACCATTGTCTCCAAGTCTTTCAAGTCTACCTTCAAATTTTCGGCCTGTAAATTCAAAGCAGATTGAACTAGCAGTGAATGCTAGGATATATAACTTCTTAAATGAGGGTAAAAATTTAAAAACCAAAAGTTTTGGGTTGGAAAAAAAATTGACAGCAATTTTAAGAGAAGAGAAAAGAGGAAAAAAAACGCTGGGGTGAATGTAAATAATCATTCCATTAAAAAAAGGGATATCATAATGTAAATAATCATCTGATTTGGGAAAAATCAGATGTAGGCATGTAGCAGCTTTACTTCCGTATGCAGAGAAATTATTTCTATGGCTCGAACAAGTGGGTATGAACCAATTTTACAGCTACGTCAAGGATTACCCTAATCTTAAGTTATATGAGCTATGGAACAAAATATTCAAATTAACCTAAGCAAGCTAGTATCATTAGCAATGAAATAAATAAATTGGCTATGTAAATCATTCTAATAGCCCAATTATCATAAGCTAAAATAAACTCAAACAATAAAGTAATGTGATAATGTTATACCTTGTGAATAAAATCTATTGTTAATTGAGCATCCTTAGCAGCGACACTAGATCCATGTTCTACCATTAAAGCTGCTTCTTTGAGCTTGCTGTTGTCTGCAAGTTCATCCGCCACCTCTGCTGATACTTTCTCCACCACAGTCGCTACCTTCTCTACCACCTCTGCCACAACTTCGACCTCTTCAATGGCATTTTCCACCTTCCCTAAACATTCAAATTTGAAAAATTAGAAGAAAATTAACAAATGAACCAAAATTGTTCTCATTTGGTGCCTAATTGAAAAGGCTGATTTGTTTATCCTTGATTTCTCTGTGAAATAGGTAATGAATCACAAACAATGAACATAGTTTGAGGAGAATAATGACATGAATGAACTTGGTGCAAAATACAATCGACAATATTAGTAGTACAACTGCCATAAAGGAAAGAGTCTGCATGGACAAGCCTGCTTCTCCTTCTACCATGCTATGGCAGAGTTGATCAATGGTATGCATTGTAAATACCTTCTAAAGTCAGCCACTTTCCCCATTTTTGATGCCCCAAAGGTAGCAGTAGGGACAACATAGAGAACAAAAGCCATTTTGCCCTGCAAAAAAAGATTATTTATCCTCAGGCTTTTTTTCAATAAAGAAAACTACAAATGCATTGGTAAATGAAAAATATTTGTGTATTCCTTTGTCACTATGGGATCTAGAGAGGCTCAGATACACATAGCCTTATCCCCGCATGCATAAACGTAAAAAATACAATATCTTTTGTTAACATAAATTCAAATATGGACCAATTTGGTGCTCCAAGACAAGGGACCTAGGGGAAATATTATCATTAAATAAACATTGGAAAGCAGAAACACATAGGATGTGCCTACATTGATTGTGCCAGAATGATTAATGTAGCAATATGAGTTGCTCACGAAAGCAGAAGAACCACCTTAAGACATGTCCACTACCAAGCCTCAGAGCTATAAGGTCTATAGAGATCATTTGGCTTCTGAGACTGAAACCTCTACTTATTCCACTACCCCAAACCCAAACTCGAGGCAAAATCCCATGACTGTACTACCTATTTTCAGCCATTACCGGTCTAAGATCTGATGAGGGAGTTTCGAACAGCGCCTGCTTGGTTCAGCATAAGGTTCGAGCAGGGCGAGAACGAGCAAAGGATTTAGCAGAATATTGACTGCCTATGGACGTAACCCCAAATTTACTGGGACAGCACCTCATTTAAATAAAAAAATGACATTTGGAGGGACAAGCAGCAGCCCCTCATTCACAAAGCGTCCACTTTAAGCACTGCCTTCAACCATTTTCATCACCCTATGCCACTGCAGACCCCACCAATCCATGGGATAACCAACCCCCTTTTCAGGATTGCGGCCTTCATCTGGCCATCTCCACTAGATTGCCAACAGTAACCACCAATTACGGTGACTAGCTTCACTCCTAAGATTGCAATTGTTAAAAGACCCGCCTAAAGCACCAGCCAAGTAAAGGAGGGGAATTCAAGTATCATTCTTTGCACACATAGTCCAAGGTTATCGGTAACGGTACAAGACTTAGAAAGAATTGACTTGAGCATCAAAGAATCTTGGGCCTGCTGACACTAGAACAATGGTTGCAAAATCTAGCTACGAAGAAACAAGTCCCCTCAATCTGCCTTATTTTCCTCATTTAAAACGTCCATCATAAACTTTAAAATTCTGATAAACAGTCTTTTATCAATGCCAGATCCTATCACAAATTATCATAAAAAATATTTGAATTAATTAATAACCATGTAGGGAAGTTGTACGAAGAATGAACTGGCGCTGCTGATTGAACCTTGACCCTGTCATCCTTTAGCCTGCAATGAAACAGAAACCCAACTCAAAACTTACAAGATTTAATAACTTTAAAACCTACAAACATAAGAAAGTCCATGAATTAATTTTTGCACGGGTTGGTTCAGGGGTTGAACAAGGCACAAGTGTCCCAGCCACATAAAACCTGGACCTCACCAATGCACTTGGGCAAAGGTAATAGGGTCCATCCAAGTTTGCATTACAATACTGAGTCCAAAGAACATGTGATTGAAATAATCCTGTTAACGAAAAGGAAAATATCTCGATCAGAAGGATCAGGCAAGATTATTACTCACATATCAGTCTTTGACGTTTCACCTACTCTGCTATTGGTACTAATTAGCCTCAGCCCTTGATGCATTGACCAACTGTGCCGAAGATTAGATGACAGCACCTCATCATGGCGTCCGGACAGAGATGAATGTCCAGAGTAAACTCTGTAGCGATGAAGAAATGTAATCAAACTTCGAAGTTTGTAATAAGATGAAGAATTTCTCACAGACATTACGACAAACACTTGGAATGCGAATAGAGAAGACGTAGTAAACCAGATGCCCTCGTCAGGAATCCCAACAGTACAGGTTGATCCCAGAAGACGATTAAGGTTGAAGCCATTTCTAACCTTCTTTAATGGCGTGTTTTTTCTACGACCAAAGAGTGACACAGACGCTAAAATAAAAAAATGACTTAGAAGAAGAAGATACGAACACGCCAAGGAATGATGTGGTTATTTTATCTGTTCACTTTAAGGTAAGGTTAAGGTTTTGTCCTAAAAATTCAAACAAGTCTCCTGTTCCTTGCCCATGTCATTAAAAGTTGCTAACGGAGAAAGATGAGTAAATATTCAATACAACTATACATACCACTTATTATATTTTTATTAAGGGAGAATTATATCTACACCCCTCTAAAATTTATCACTTAATCATTTAGACCTTCTAACATTTAAAATATTACACATAAATCTCAATAATTTATACCCACGTAACACTTAAACCCCTGTTGTACATATATCTGTTAATAAATTACACTTAGACTATCCTAAAGTTTGTGGGTATATAATATTTAGACCCTTTAAGTTTAAAATATTATATATAGACCAAAAATATTTCAATCAAATATAAGATATCAAATATTTTAAATTTTACAATCAAAATTCATGTTCTATTGTATAATTTATTGAAATAAAATTAAAAATAAAAATTTAATTTTTTTTAAAAAAATCGTAATTAATATACAATTATACTATCTATTATTTACTAACTATGGATTTTTTTTTAAATAACTTTTTATTTTTTATTTTTTATTTTATTTCAATAAATGAAATAATAAAACATGAATTTTGGATGTAAAGTTCATGTTTTATTATTAATGACTTAAACCAATTGTCTGATTTTTTAGTTTTTTTCTAATAGATAATATAATTGTATACTAATTACAATTTTTTAAGAAAAAATTAAATTTTTATTTTTAATTTTATTTCAATAAATGATACAATAGAACATGAATTTTGGTTTTAAAATTTAAAATATTTTATATTTTATATTTAATTGAAATATTTTTTGTTTAAATATAATATTTTAAACTTAAAAGGTCTAAGCATTATATATCCACAAACTTTAAAGGAGTCTAAGTGTAATTTATTAATGAATATATTTACAACAGAGTCTAAATGTTATGCACATACAAATTTCAAGAGATCTGTATATAATATTTTAAATATTAAATAGTCTGAATTATTAACTGACAAATTTTAAGAGGTCTGAGTGTAATTCTCTATTTTATTAAATGATAATAGTAGCATGATATTGCCGTTGTATTAAATTTTTTCAGAGGAGAGAAAGTCATACTGGCGGCCCTGCCTTAGTCTACGTTTACTTAGTAAAAAGGCTGTAAAGGTTTCTTTGGAAAGGTTTTTTTTGCTTGACTTTGAAAAATGGACAAACTTTAGTTTACTCCTTCTGATTTAATTTATTTGCACATAACTTCTTTAGGGTTTAAAAATTGCACGTAACTCTCTTATAGTTGTTGGACTAAAATGTATTGCTTAACTCCGTTAACAATAAGATTAAAATGACTTTAATGCCCCTCTCCACCTTTCTTCTCCGACAACTCTATCCATTCTTTTTTCCCCTAGGCTAAAAAAGCACCCACCTATTTCTTAATGGTCTTTTTCTTTGAATTAGAATTAGCAGATTGCAGCTTTGGATGGTTTTCGGCCTTGCTAGTTTCAACCCATTGAGTGGGTGACGATTGAAGAAAGGCCAATTAGGAATAGAAATGAGAGAAGTCAAAACCACACCACCAACATATATGAGAAGAGTAACGTTATACTGATTAAATTTTAGAATTAAATTTGAAGTTCAAATGACATGACAGTATATTATTTGAAATTTTTATTGAGACTCAAATGATATGACACAAAATAAAGAAGTTCAGGTCAATTATTATGTCATTTGAACTTTAAATTTAATCTCAAAATTTGATCAATATAATATTACTGATATAAGAAAGTTGGGAATACATCAAACAATCCAAAAATTGGGATATAATGCAATTCAAGTCAAAACACACGCCATTATTGCAATTTAGGTCCAACACTCCAAATGCCCCTTTTCCTTTTTCTCCGACAGACCCCCGCCTTTGTTTATTCTTTTTCCCTTTCTCCTTCTCCGACAAAATGGGATGCAAAATGATTTGGCGGTGGGCTTTTTTTTTTTGACCACAGACCAAAGTAGTGTAGAGAGAAAGACACACAGAGAGAGAGGGGTTTTTTTTTTTTTTTTGAGAGAGAGAGAGAGAGTTTGCCAGGTTTTTTTGTCTTTTAAACATTTTTTTTGTGCCCGTGACTCATTCATCAGTTAAATTGGATTGAAAATATGACGCTGCATTTTAGTGTATAAATCACAAGTGGATTATGTGCTATTTTAGAAGGACATGGAGGTGATGTGCAAAACGGATTAACCAAAGGGATGCAAAGTGAAGTTTGCCTTGAAAAAATAAATGAAAGGGTAAATTTCACTTGAACCCCTTGACATTTAGCTTTATTATATGGACACCATTCACATTATAAAAATTACACTGAGACCTCAATTTGTGGACGTTATGATCAAAAAGACTTTTTTGTCCTTCATTTAATAGGTCAATGAAGTCTAAATGAGAAGGCTGCGACTATTCCCACCTATTAAATCTCATTTCTCATCTCATTTAATCATTTTACTTTGAACTATTAAGTCACCTGTATATCCACTCTCATTAGTTTTTAAACTTTCCCCGTTTATATTCATCAATTAAAAATTAAATTTATTTAATTTTATTTCAACCTAATGTATAGGTGATGATCAAAATTTTGTTTCGATACATTATTTTGGTACAAAAATTTTCAGAAGCAAAATAAAAATTAATAAAAAAATAATTATTATTTTTAAAATATTATTCAAAGTATGCCAAAATATCTTAAAATATTCCAAAAATATTGAAAAAAATATATTAAAACAGCTCAAAATAATATAGATTACCTCAGAACATTGAAATTTCACTTCAATTACTATTTTTGTTTCGGTTTATATGATATATATTTAATAGCTTAATTGAATGAGTATAAATAGAGTAAACTTAGTAACTAATGAAGTGAGTATAGATGAGATGAACTTAGAGCATCTCTAACCCTAATTCAAATTTAGACTTAAATTTAAATTTGAGTAGAAAAGGCGAAAAAAATTTACTGCAACATTTGAGTCAAACTTATATCAAATTAAGAGAAACTCATTTTTTTATTCAAATCAAGGACAATTCAAAACTTTATCTAAATCTTCAATAGTGAAATTTTAACCTTTTTTAAAAATCCAATAGTCATCTTTATTCTCTTTTAAATTTGGGTTTGCCCTTATTTAAATTTAGTTTTCTCTTTTTTCAAATTTGAGTTTATCCATAGGAATCTTTTATATCAAATTAAGTTTTTTACTCAAATTTGAATTATAGGTGAAAATGCTCTTAATAATTTAAAGTAAGATAATTATATGAGATGGGGAAAGAGATTTAAGGGGTGAGAATAGTCTTTCCCAAATAATTTAAGGATGTAATAATTGTGACCATTAGATTGTTAGAAGATTCCAACAGTAAATGCACTATACTATCAATTTGGCATTCACAATACATTAAGTCTTTAAATTGTATCCACAATTTATATCCCAATAACATTAGTATTTTAGAAAATACGAGAGGATTCAGATGCCTGAGTAAATATTTAATGTAATAGTTACACTAAATTAACACTGTCATATGGTGTAATCATCCAATAATATACTTATGTGTAAAAAAGATTAACCCCACTTTTTTTTTACATAAATAGTTAGAATAAAACAATGCATCTCAAATGAGTTTACCAAATGCTTAATACCAAATAATGTGGCAAAATTCTTGCATCGAATATTTAGTGAAAGTGAATGAGATTCAATAATTTAACTATCTACACTGATATTAAATAATTACACAACGTGATAATATTGGCTTAATTTTACCATTACATTGAAAATTTTCTCAATATGTTAGATGAGGGGAGAGAGAATTTTCAATAACCCAAACTACGAATTGTTTATAAAACGACATCGTTTTGAGGATACTAGAGTGCAGTGGAAGATATGTAGCGCTGTATAGCTCACGCAAATGGACTGGAGTTTGGGCCCGTCTAGACAAGGCCCAGTCAGTCCTAACCAATCACCCCACCCACCATTAGCCGCCATGAAAATGAGACCAAGCTAAAAGTCAAGAGGGGAACAAATGCAAAGACAGAACAATGCCTCAGCATCTCCAATACCGTCCACAAGGTCTCAAAACAACTCCAATCTGATTCGCTATTCCTTTCTCTCTTCTCCCTTCACCCCAGTCTTCCCTCATCTCTTCTCTCTCTTCAAATACAAGACCACCCATCTCTCTCTCTGATCTTCCCTTATGATTCATGGCCTTCAATCACCGAAAGTTGGTCCAAGATTTCTGCAACAATACCATAAAACAATTCTGCGGAACAAATTATTGCGACCCATCGAAGAACGAAAACGGCGCTTGTCCACTTTCATGTATCTCCTGCTGTTACCCAATATGTTATCGTCCTCTGGGACCAGTTTCAGACCCTAAACCCACTTGGAATGATCCTCCAAACCCACCACACAGACTATCTCTCCTCTTCATCATTGGTCTCGCTATACTCGCCGCCACTTTCTTTCTCTTCTCTTGTTTCCTGATCTACAAGATCTACACAGGTTGGTTCAGATGTAGGAGGAGATCACAGCCACAAGAAGAGGAGATTCATGATGATTTTCTTGATGAAGATCATGGGCCTGTGGTGGATCATCACATATGGTACATCAGAACTGTGGGTCTTCAACCATCAGTCATCAGCGCAATTACAATTTGTAAGTACAAAAGAGGGGATGGACTTGTTGAAGGAACAGAGTGTTCTGTTTGTTTGAGTGAGTTTGAAGAAGATGAGACTCTTAGGTTATTACCCAAGTGTAGCCATGCTTTTCACATTCCTTGTATTGATACTTGGCTTAGATCTCACACCAATTGCCCCCTTTGCCGTGCTGGGATTGTGATCAACGCGGCCGAATCGCGACCCCTAGAACAGAGTGTGAATAATTCAGGTGTTGCTGAAGAAACCCAGTTGGGAATTTCAGAGAATAACAATGAATTAGCAGGGGATGGAGAAGAAGAGGCTTGTGAATTGAGGAATAGGATAGAGGAAGAAGGCGAATCTCAGGTCGAAAATCGAATAAAGATTGAGGAAAATTCAAAGGGGGAGGTGGATGAAGTTCAACCATTGAGGAGATCTGTTTCTGTGGATTCCTTAACAGCTTCAATGATCAGTCTTGCTGTAGCTAGTGCTCATTCATCACAATCTAATGGGAATTCGGATTCTCAGGTTGTGAAAATCAATGAAACAAATATGGAAATTGTGCCAAAAAACTTTGGTGTTAATATGAGATTGGTGGGTAGTCCTTCAATTGGAAGATCACTGCAAAAAGGGCCTCGTCCGATCAAGAGATCATTTTCTTACAGTGGGACGGTTTTGTTATCAAGGCACAGCCATGGCCGAAAATAGGTTCTTCCTTCATGAAGTTTTTCATTAGATTTCAAGGTGAGATGTCTACAAATTCAGATGTCTCAGGAACTCTCAACAAGCTGAGAGTTTTTATAGGTTTTTTTTTTAGCAATCAATATGTCAAACTGTATAATAAGAGTTGGAAATTGAGGCTCATCCAAAAATGGAAGCAGGCTCAAAGTATAATTACATTGTATTTTTCTTGGTGTCAAGGTTTCTGAAAGAGAACAAAGAAATTGTAAGCAAACAGTTTTGCTCTTATGAAATGATTATAATGTTTTGAGGTAGCACTTCGCAACAGAGTTAATGGGATGAATGATACTCTTTATGTTTGTTTTGCCATTTTTCAATCTGCTATGAGAAGGTTTTGTTTGTTAGTCAGTCACTCGGAGGGACAACGAGATTCGAACTGTGATCTAACATGCATAAAGTATTGTCTCGACTGTTTGGAGCCTACATGAATTGTGTCAATTATCCTATTAGTGAATGTTTAGTTTCCTTGTTGCATATCTGCTGTGTCGTCTATGAGACAATTGTGATAGGTAGTACTGCTCTTTTTTTTTTGTTTTTGGTGTCCATCGGAAAGTTTAAAACAAGCAAACTAAATACAGTTTCTAGGAAGTGAAACACTGGTCAGACCAGCCATTAAACAACTGACCATCTGAGGTGGGGATCCTCCAGCTCAACAAAAGACTCCAGTTGATTGACACCAAGGTTTGGCAGTTTTTCTGCGAACAGGTTTCCTTCTCTAAGGGTATGAATAATGGGTATGTGATTTAACTCCATTATCCAATGATGATGACTCTGTTTGGATGTGTCTCTTCAGAATCAAGAGAAAGCAGTTTTGCTGCTTCAATAAAATCTGTTTCCACTAAGACGTGTGTGATATTTCTTCTCTGAATAAGCTTCAGGCCTTTGAAAATGGCCCAGGCTTGGATGCTCGTCCTGTCATTCATTTTCCCATAAAAGTCTGTAATCCATTTACCTTGATCGTTTCTGATAATTCCTCCCACACCTGCTGGTTGAAGATTGCCTTTAGGGCTCCCATCCGTGTTCAGCTTGTTCCAATCTGATAGTTAGTACTGCTGGAGCTTAAGCAATTTGTTGTGTACTTCTTGTGGAATTACATTTTCTAAATCACTAAGTGCAGTCTATAATTCTTCCAAGAGGTTATGAAAGGAAAAGCCCTTGGTACTTGAGGGTTATTATTCAGTATCGTGGTTGACCATTTGGAGTTGTAAATTGATCCCGATTTACCCTGAGTTGGTAACTTCCGGTACGGTACTAAACTAGGTATTATACGGTTCCACCTAATTATCATTTATGCCATAGAATGAAACCTGCAGAAAATGCTTCATTGTTTTTTTGTTTCAAGGGGGTGTATACAAAGAACTTGGACAGAGTTAATCTTGTGGAGAAGGATATTGGGTTCGATTAAAACAATAAACAGAAGCGTAAGGTATGAAAATATATTCATATAAAATTGTGCGGAGATAGAGAAGGCGATAAACTAATACTTGCCCCCGCCCAGTATACTGTCATCTAACCTAAGGACAGTACTAACTTGTCTTATTGGTGATAAAAGTTCAAAGTTTTCAAGTACAAAGTCAGTTGATTGAGCTAATCTAATAGAGATGGAGTCTTCTCAACCTGTTATGGAAACAAAGCGAGAGTGCAAATGCAGCTGCCTTTGCAAGGCACTAGGCTCACATTATACAATATATTGTTTATTTTGGGATAAGTTCTTACAACTTCAAAATGCATTGTACGATCCAAATTCAAAACTCACACTTATTCCCACCCCTATAATCACTTTATTAGTCGACGTGGGATTGGATCATCATATTTTACAAGCATGGAATGCCATCAAATGACAACATTTTAAGTAGACTCAATGTGAGAAAATGCATAGTTGTTCTCATTTGTTTTGTGAATGTAAGCTCAAGCAGAGACGATAATAGGCTCTGGAGGTGCTACTGTGGAGATTTCTTAGCACTTAATTTCCTTGCCAGTAGTTACTCTTTGAGTCCAATTTTCTCACCTACAGTGGAAAAATACAACTAACCTACAAATTTTTATTTTACTTTTTAAAAAAAATTACACACAAAAAGTTACGCCATGCTTGTCTTATATCTCGGTTTCAAGAAGAAAAACTATTTGATCAGTTATTTTATTTTTTATTTTTTTGAAAGTTGAGAACAAATGGATAGATTTAAAAAATAATTTAAAATTATTTGTGTGTTTTGAAAAACAATATTTCCAGAATTTAAAAAAAAAAACCACCACCATTACCACATTTCTGTTTTCATTATTTTTTGAGTTATTATCCAATCAAGTTTTATTATTTTATATTTCTTATAACTATTTTTGAAATCATATAATTAAATAAATTTTGCGATACAAAAAAACACCAAAACACAGGCCCCGCTTGGTTTAGTCTTAAAAAATAGTATTCGAAAATTATTTTTAGGAAAAGTTTTAAAAAAAAATTTTTAGTTTTTTTTATGGTATAACTTGTTTGGTTATATAATTCTAAAAATAATTATACGAAATAGAAAGCATTAAAATTTGTTTAGACAGTAACTCAAAAAATAATGAAAATAAAAAATGTAGTGGTGGCCGTGATAAAAATGTAGTGGTGATGGTGTAAGTGTGGTAGTGGTGGTGTTGGTGTAAGGGTAGTAACGGATGATGGTGGGAGTGTGGTGGTGATGATGGAAATGTGGACGTGGTGGTGGTGGTGATGTTTTCTAAATTCTGAAAATGTTGTTTTAAAAAACACACAAAATAATTTTAATTTGTTCTCTAAATTTACCTAATTTTTGTTCTCAATTTTCAAAAATTAAGAATCAAAAAAACAATTGGTCAAACAATTTTTCTTCCCCAAACTATTTTTGAAAATAGAAATGTTTTCAAAAATAAAAAAACAGTTTATAGATGCAAACTAAACAGGGCCACACTTTTCTAAAATTCTTTCAAAAAATAATTTTTGGATGTTAATTTTTGAAATACAAATTAAACAAGCCTTAGTTTTTTTTTTCCCCGTTCCATTTTCTTTTTATTATTCTCTTGCCAAAAGTGATTTCCTGAAATTTCTTAAACCAGATAGAGCAAAAAATGCCACACACAAAAAAAAAAACAGAAATAACTTAAAACTTGCAAAACAGAGGACATGTTTGGTTTGGTTTTTAAAAATAATTTTTTGTTCTAAAATCAAGGAAAATGTTGTTTGTTTAGCTTTTTTGTTTTCTAATTTTTTGAAAATTTTGGGAATTGAGATATAATTTTAGAGAACAACAAAAAATATTTTTTGAGTTTTCAGGCTAAAATAGAAAACAAGAAAAGCAACCCCTCCTCTTTAATGAAGTTCACCGATCAAACTTTCGTAGCAGCAAAATGCATTTTTTTTGTTAAAGTATAAAAGCCCTTCACATGCGTCTTTCTCCATCTCCACTCTCTCTCTCTCTCTCTCTCTCTCTCTCTCTCTGTGCAACGACACTGTCCAAACGAAACAGAGACGAAATACATACTATTTCTCTCTCCACTTCGGCAAATTCAGACGAAACACACCCACGATCTGGGTTCAAGAACTCTAACGGTTTTTGGCATCTTCTTCATCCTTTCCAGTGTTTTTTTTTTATGCATCTGGGTTTAAGACACAGGTGGTGGTTGTGGGTTTCGGTAGTTGTAGGTTTTAAGTGGTTATGGGTTTCGGTAGTGGTCGTAGGTTTTGAGTGATTGTGGGTTGGTGGTGGTTGTTGGTTTTGGGTGGTTGTCAATTTCAGAGCTATGGGTTTTGGTAGTCTTGATGCAGAGTCAAAGAGAGAGAGAGAGACAAAGAGTTTAAGAGAGGTGGAAATTGTAGATTAATGTCTAAATAAATTTTATAATTTTTGTTTTTTAAAATTATTTTCAAAAATATATAACTAAACAGATTTTGTAATCTAAAAATTTTTAAAGACACTTCTTAAAACTTTTCTCAAAAATAATTTTTAGATACTGTTTTTTAAAAGGGTTAATTATAAATTACAACTCAAAAGATTGTTTGTATCTCAATTTGCACCCCCAAAGATAAAAATCTCAATTTGCGCCCTCAAAAATAGAAATTTATATCAATGTACACCCCCAAAGATCAAAAATCTCAATTTGCACCCTCAAATATAGAAGTTTGTATCAATGTATACCCCTAAAAATCAAAAATCTCAATTTGCACCCTCAAAGATAGAAATTTGTATCAATGTACACTAAAACTAACTGCCGTCAATTTGCTGCCTAAAACTAAATTGATAAATTATACCTAGATCCTCTCATGCTTTTCACTTAATAATTTGAACATCTTCACAAAATAAAGGGTAATATGAAATTATAATTTTTTATTAGGATAAAATCATATTTTTTTAACGGTTATAAAATTCTAATAAAAATACTCTCAATCTAAAATGTTCCCCCAATTGGGCATTTAAATAATTATGTTTAAATGATATATTGCATTGGATATAAAAAATATTATATAAATACCTACATTCTATTGAATATTCAAATGGCAAGCTTGATTTTGAACTTTAAAGTGTATCGAACTCATAAAACAACGGGTAATATGAAATTATAATTTTTTATTAGGATAAATTATATTTTTTAACGGTTATAGTAACAAATATCACTAAAAAGGGTTACGTGTTACACGTGCACAAATGTTATAAGATGTAAGAGTAATATTCTAAATGTGAAGATATCCAAATGATTAAGTGACAAATATGAGGGGATCTAGGTATAATTTATCAATTTAATTTTAGGCAGCAAACTGACGACGATTAGTTTTAGGTGCACATTGATATAAATTTCTATCTTTTAAGGTACAAATTGAGATTTTTGATTTTTGAAGGTATATATTAATACAAATTTATATCTTTTGGTGGTTGTCAGTTTCGGTGCTATTGGTTTTGGCGGTGGTCTTGATGCACAGTGAAAGAGAGAGAGACAAAGAGTTTAAGAGATGTGAGAATTGTAGATTATTGTCCAAACAAATTTTATAATTTTTGTTCTTTAAAACTATTTTCAAAAATATATAACTAAATAGGTTTTACAATTTAAAAAATTTTAAAAACACTTTTTTAAAACTCTATTCAAAAATAATTTTTTGATACTATTTTTTGAAATATAAACCAAAATGACTACAATTTTTTCTTCCTTTTTATTTTTTCCTCTACCTTATGATCAACGTGTCGAACCAAACCTATGCTTCCCTCTCACGGCATGGTCTGTCTAAGAGGAAGCCTCCTAAAAGATTATGTCAAAAGAGTCTGAACATTAATGAGAGCTGAGAGGAAGGATTTTGAGCTCTGTTGTGACTTGTGATCAGTTTCGCTTGGCATGGTCAAAGCGTGAAATGGAAGACGAGGGTTCTTCAGAATATGACGAGGGTTTTCTAGAATATGAAGGGGAAGGGTTCATCACTTATGACTCACAGATTTCTAGGCAACTCTTTTTAAATGTTCCTTAGCTCTCTCTCTCTCTCTCTCTCTCTGGTAAGTGTTCACTTGCCTTTTCCTTGGTCACTTCTGGTAATCATCATTTCATTACTTTTCTGTAGTGCTAATTCCTTCACCATTTCTTAATGTTCCTTAGCTTTCTGGGTTCTTTCTAATCATTCTTTCATTACTTTTCTGTAGTGCTTTCCCCTTCACTCTCTCTATCTCTCTCTCTCATTTGTTCGCTTTCCTTTTCCTCATCTCTTCTTCTAATCATTCTTTCGTTACTTTTTCTCTAGTGCTGACTGACCCAATTAACCTTGGCCATTTCTTATTACCCTTAACTTCCTGGGTTCTTATTCACTTTCCTTTTCCTCTATTTCTTCTTCTAATCATTTTTTCATTACTTTTCGGTAGTGCTTATCTCTTTTACCATTTCTTATATACTGTTCGTTGGGTTTGTGGGTTCTCTTTAATTTCTGCCTGTCTTTATCTCTCCAGTATACACTTTCCTTTCCCTTAGTCTCGTCCTTATTAGTCCTCATTTCTTGCAGATGAAACTGAAGGTCGCAACCTAGATAAGATCTTAAAGGTGTCTTTGTTTTGATAGGTTGGTGGCAGTTCACGAGGCATTGATCTGAATACATGCAATTTCTCTCCTGCAAGAGGTAATTTTTACAGTTCCTTCTGTAATTGACTTATATATCTATCTAATATTACAGTAGGAACTTGAATTCCCAACCTATATAGAAGGACAACAACAGTCGATATATATTCAATTTTTATCTACTTTGATTTAATGATACAAAATCAGTTCCAAAAATTTTTTCCTGCCCAAAAACATCAACTTATTTACACTACCCCAATGCCAGAAAACCCACTAATCCACACATAAGTCTCTTCTCTCTCCCCTTCCTCTCTAGTATTTTGTTTCTTGTTTATGATACATCTTATGGATTTGGGGCTAATGTCTGAAGTACAATCCAATCGATTTTTTGTGGCTATGTATTCTTGGAAATAAAAGCATTCTTTTGTGATTTTAGCCCACTTGAGCACACAAGTTGGTTAATCAGATGAATGCATCGATTATATGACAAGAATGGTGACTAAATTAGTGTTGAGATCACATTAAGAAGTATCAGATAAATGAATAACATTAGGCTAAGCTAGGTTGATAAATCAGATGATTATGTGAAAAGGATGAACTAATAACCCTACAATTAATAAGTAACATTGAACGAAATAATAAGAAAAGATATGAAAATATTTAACTTAAATGAGCCTATAGGCACGGTCGAAATGAATGGCGAAAACGGTCTCATATAGCTATCCCAAATGATTGGGACATAAAGCTTGGTTTGATTTAGTTTAGCTTAGTTACTTATAATCATGTTGTATGTGAACACACATTGCATCTGCAAAACATCTGCCTGAATAGTAGTGAAATTATAGCGATTCACTCACGATACGTAATTGAGGTTGCCTATCATTTCATTAATCTTCATAGGTCATTCAATCTCGAACAATTCAAGTATTTCTATCATCAACTACAGGTCTAGGAAGAGTACATACTAATTTTACAAAGATGGAGGCTCATGTTGGAAACTCCCAAGTACCATCCAAAGAGGAGAAGAGGAGCAAAGTCTTGAAGAAAGCCCTGCTTTTGTTGAACTGTGGGATGTTAGGCTTAGGCAATTGTGCTGGTCCAATGGTGCAGCGTCTCTACTTTGTGAAGGGGGAAAGAGAGTTTGGTTGTCGTGCTGGTTACAGACAGCCGGTTGGCCATTTATCATAATCCCTCTGTTCGTTTCATATCTATATCGTCGAAACAGGGAGGTTCCTGGGACCAAACTCATATCAATTAAGCCTGGTCTCTTTCTGCCTTGTGCTGTTCTTGGCATTCTCACAGGTTTGGATGACTACTTAGCCGCTTTTGGCGTTTCTCGCCTACCTGTCTCCACATCTGCTCTAATAATAGCCACCCAATTGGCCTTCACTGCTGGGTTTGCATTTCTTCTGGTTAAGCAAAAGTTCACTGCTTTTACCATTAACTCAGTGTTCTTGTTATCTGTTGGAGCTGTGGTCCTTGCATTTCATTCTAGCACGGATCGTCCTGCTCATGAATCCAAGGCACAATACTACATGGGATTTTTCATGACACTTGGGGCATCTGCATTGTATGGATTTGTGCTGCCAATGATAGAGTTAACATACAAGAAAGCCAAGCAAGTCATTACTTATCCTCTTGTCATGGAGATGCAGATGGTTATGTCCTTCTTTGCGACCGCTTTCTGCACCATTGGGATGCTTGTGAACCATGACTTCGTGGTCTGTCTCTCTTCCTCTCTCTTACTAGGATAAACATTAGCATGGTTTTATGACATCTTGATTAAACATGGAATTGTATAGAATCAATTCCATTGATACTATTATTTTCATGCTTTTTATTTTTAATACAAATATGAGGTTTCTAACTTCTTTCCCAATATATCGTAGTTTATATGGAAGTATGGTTTTTAATCCATGCTTTTTGATGGAAAATTGAAAGCGTGGTTTCAACCCGCATGCTTTCAAAATTTTCTATTGAAACCTGTAATACAATTATGTTTTTGACTTTAAAAAGTAAGTTGAAACCATTCTTTTACATAAACCCTGGTGGATTCAGAAATAAGTTAGATATCACCGTATTTGTATGTAAAAATTTAAAATCACGGTAGATTGGTAAAAGTATTAAGGTGTACATGGCATATTAAAAATCATTTCTGTTGTTTGATTTCCGTTTTAGGCAATTTCAAGAGAGGCAAGAGAATATGAGCTTGGTGAAGCCATGTACTACGTGACGCTCGTGTTGAGTGCAATCCTCTGGCAATTCTTCTTCCTAGGAGCCATTGGAGTCATTTTCTGTGCTTCCTCATTGCTCTCTGGTATCATAATCGCGACTCTGCTGCCGGTGACAGAGTCATTGGCTGTTTTGTTCTTCCATGAGAGATTCCAAGTTGAGAAAGGAGTTGCTCTCACTTTGTCTCTTTGGGGTTTCCTCTCCTACTTCTATGGGGAGCTCCAAGAAATCAAGAAGCTGAAAAAGGCAAGAGCAGCAGCAGAGTTGCCTCAGTCACATGGTCCATTGGGACAAAATTGATTCTACATAAAGAATCTCAATCTCAATCTCACCCTTATAAGAATTATTGTTCTACTATCTTTGTAAATATTTCTAAGAATCTCAATTTGCAACCCGAAATTCAAATTGTCTCACATTATCCCGTTAATTTATGAATGAGTAGTTATTTAATTGTATTAGATCTACTTGTTTAATTCTTGTCTTATTATTAGAATGTTACACCGTTAGAGAATCCAAAATGCTGTGTTTATGGGAAAGTGGGCATTAAAATAATAAGAAATGTATAAATAAAATTTCTTCAGATCTTCAATGAAGTCAGGATGGCCGAGTGGTCTAAGGCGCCAGACTCAAGTTCTGGTCCTCGTGAGAGGGCGTGGGTTCAAATCCCACTTCTGACATTAATATTGTCCCAATCCTCTTCCTTTTTTGGGTTTTATATATTTTTGGCCAAAATAATAAAACATAATATTTCCTTTCATGAGGTGAAAAATAAAGAAACCCGGATGTTAGATAGTCGGGTTTAGATCGAGTTCGACTTTTCAAATAACTTGATTGGATTGTACCTTTTTGTCAAATGTACCTTAACATTTTAGCAGTTATAGTTAAAGAAGATGATTAGTATAATTTGATTCTTTTTTTTTATTTACCCCTAGGAAGTCGAGGTGTCAAAATATAACATTATTCATTAATATAACACAAAATTAGAGATTTAGATATTTTTAAACCACTTGTTTAGTAAACTTATAAATCCGACACGACACGATTAATAAACGATTCGGGTATGGATGAAATCAATAAGAAGAAATATATGGCACGACTTGTTTATATACTAATTATACACGGTTCATATGTGGCACAAACTCGATATGACATGATTCATTAAATACAAATTAATAAACGAACCGGATATGTGTGAAATATTTTTTAACACGAACTCACTAAAATTCGATATGAATCCGCACTCGCCCGATATGACTGACATGCCTACTAAGAAATATTCTTTTTGCACCCTTTTTAAAAAAAAAAGTAAATGTATGCTCTTATTTAGAAATGTATATATATATTTTCTTATTTATAGATGTATACTCTTATGTGTTTCATACCCTCTCATGGTATTCAACTGCTCTTTAGAAAAAAAAGAAGTAAATGTTACATATGTGGTTAGACCTATCATCCTAGTTTTAAGTAGTACTAATTAAATTTTTAATTATCTTAATTTAATTCTACAATTATAAAATTCATAATCATCAGTCATTTTCATCTATTTTTTGTTCAAAATAACAAAAAAGTTTGTGACACTTGTTTCAAAATTTTCCTAGATTTCAAATTTCTTTTTTTTTTTTTTTTGTCTTTTTGTTTTAAGATTAACATAATTTGGAGATTAAATCGATATAATTAAAAGTTTAGAGGTAGAATAAAAACTCAAGTCAAATACTAGGTGATATATGTGACATTTATCCATAAATAGTATGGGTGTAATTAGGTCCGACAATTTTAAAAACAATTTATAAACTCGATACAAAATCTACACATAATAAATTTGTGGACATGTTGTAGTCGTCAAATAAATAAGTTGACATGAATTTACTAAAATATAACATGATCTAATTAAATATGACTTATATGTTCTTTTGACACCAATGAGTCTTTAGTCCAATAGTACTCCTTGCCTTGTGAAGGTTTTTCCCTCTTGAGGTCAAATGTTTAAGTCTCTTTTCCCCCTCCCAAAAAAAAAATGTTCTTTTGACAAAACATGAATTTGATGATAAAAAAAATAAATTAATTAAATAAATTTTAACATGATTTAGACACGACAACTCAAGGTCAAATTATCGAATTTAGATCTTCTTCATTACCATTTTCTTTTAATTCTTTTAATATAATATTAAATAAGTCGCATGTGTAAAATTTAAATTTCAATAGACAAGATGTTTCCTTATTAATTTTGTTATTGGTGGAGTGTTAACTATGGTTAAAAAATTTTCTCATAGAAAAAAAATCTTATTCATTGAAATTTAATATTCAAAATTGTACATATATCAATCATCTAGCACTGTATTTGAAAGAATTGAACGAAAAAGGTAATGGAAAACATTTGAATCCCAAATTAAGAAAAAACATTGGATGTAATCGTTACACTACATCAATAATGTCACATGGTATAATCGGTCCATTGATAAAGAAATAAGTTTGAAAGTGGGTCCCACAAAAATTCATAACTATCTATAATCACCTCCATAATAGGAAATAAGCCACAATTTATTTATTTTATAATTTTTTTATCAACACTGCTATGCTGACTTAAATTTCTTACCAGTTTTTCATCTCAAGTGATGTAACACAAGTGAATCCCATTAATATTCAATGATGGAGATTACGCCATATCACTTTGAATGAAAAACTTAGGGGTCGTTCGGTAATGTTTTTGTTTTTGCGTCTTCAAAAAATTGAAAACAGAGAAAAAAAATGTCTTTGTTTTGTGGTAAACGCTGAAACATAAAACATATTTGGTAACTACTTCAAGTTTTATCATAAATATGTTTTATAATATCTCATTTTTTGTTTTTAAACAAATCAACATTTTATTTCATAAAAAATGATTTATAACCAAGTATTAAAGACCTTCAACAAAGTACCAATCCACACTTTTTTTTTTGGAAAAGAGAAAAATTTAATTCCATCAATCAATGAATTACAAGAAGCAAAGGGATTCAAAGAACTCTAATTACAAAGAGTTGGTTTTAATCCTTCAACAAGACCAAAGCCATAAAACTATCCACACATCCAGCATCCAAACTTCAAAGTGCAAAAAACCACTTTAGAAAGCACCCAAAACCTGAACCTGCTACTCCTCCAGCTATTGAAATCTCCTCTTCACGGTGGCAGCTCACAGTAGCAATCTGCCAGCATAGCAGAAAGCTACTGAAACATAACAGATCAGCAACCATCCTGCAACATCATCATCTCAACTTCTTTACTGAAAAATTCTGCACTCCAGCTCAAAGCTCCAAAGCATAATATTGCAACACCAGCTCAGACAGAAATACAATCCAAACTAGCAGCTCATAAACAAACCATAAAAATCTTGCCTGTAATCAAACTGCTATAGTCCAAATCTTCAACATTTCAACGCCTTCCTTCTGTACAGCAGACATCATCCTTGAATGCAAGAGCAGATTCTGATGCGCAATGCCCCTCCACAGATCAGCTCCCACCTCACTATTAATCTCCAGACAGAACCTGATGCAGAAATGAACTGCCAGACCAGCAGGACACCACTACCGAGATATCTACTCTGTACATTCTGCAGACAACTACCCAGCTATGAGAACTTCAAACCAAAATATCAGCCCAAATCCACATACACCAAAAGATTGTTCATGCTTAGCACTTCCACTGTCAAAACCTCTATCCAGCTATTGAATCCATAGAAAAAACTTGCTGGCCATTTATCACAGACCTCCTCCTTCTTGCATTAAGCCTCTGGGCTTGATCCTGGTGCAACAACATTCTTCCAGCCAAAGGCAGAATACCAGTAGCTGAAAAATCACTAAAACAACCAACTTTAACTGCAAAAAAAGCCAAAAAATTAGAATTTTTTTCAATCTCCAAGGCACTTCAGCATGCCCTAACACCATTTGAATTAGAACATAAGAATCAGACTCAAGTACCATCCACATTGAGCTTTAACATACACACAGGTGGAAAGACTAAAGGAGCTTTAACATACGCACAGGTGGAACCTGAGAATTAGACTCAAACACCATCCACATTGAGCACCATCCACATGAGCTTGCAGCTCAGGAGTAAATAGCATAAGCATCAGATCCTCTAATTTTAGATTGCAGCTCATGAGTAAGCCACTCCTCAACCTCCTCCAAATGCCATGCATTATCAAACCATACATCACTGACTTTAGGAAAGATTAAAGGAGCAACTTCAATTCTATACAATAAAGGACCAGGCTCCAACCAAAAATCGCATTCATACATCATAGTGTCCAACATACAACCCCTAAGTTCAGACATTAATAAGTCATATCACTTAACTAAAATTTCAATAATTAATACAAATACCACGGACAATAATGCACAAATAAAGATCAAATTACATCCACAACAAGCAAGCATGAAAATAGTAATCCATTTCTTCTTTCTCCATCTTGATTGGGCTTGATTAATCACATGTTGTTCATTTGTAATTGTGTTGTTCTCATCAACCCATATGAAACAATTGTCATGCTCACGCCAACGTGGACAATGATAACAAGTTCGTCCATTGTTTCGTTTGGTCCTTGCGACCAAAATATTCATGTTCCCGGATCCACACGAGCATGGAGGGCCAATACATGTCATTATAACACACCTAATTACATTAATATCAACAAGTAAAAATTAGTCATATAAACATTAAATTCAATATAACAATGCAAGTATCAACACATTTTTACCATCATAATATATAATAACAGTAGGACATGTATCAATGGTGAGTTAATGCCCACAATTGATTAGCAATTGTATCTCTGACACGAGCCATTTGACGTAGCAGACTTGGACTTATGTTTAATTCTATTGGGACCTATGAACTAGATCCAACAACAATTCTTTCATTATCAACAAATTCTTTTCTTTCCTAGTCGTCAAATAACTAATCTTTATGAGAATGCATTCTTATAAAGTTATGCACTGTATAACATGTTGTGAGAATGTATTTCTGTGTGGTTAAGGGATATGGAGGCATTAGCTTCAGAATGGGAAAACAAATCTTTAGAACTCCAAAACAACGTTTTATCACATTCCGAAGTGAAGAGTGCCGATGATTGAATAATTCTTCTTTACCGGTTAGTTGTCGACCCCTACCTTTATAATCACGCAAGTAATATCTCTCACCATGATACGGGGACAGAAAACCAAGCGTATTTGTGTAGCCCGAATCCATAACATAATATTTACCTTCTTGCGGCATTAGAAACTTATTGGCTAGATTAGCAACACACTCAGCAAATATTCTTGAGTCATGAGTAGTACCCACTCATCACAAATATAAAGTGCATTTCAAAGAAACATGCACACATTACATTTTGAGTTGGTACAATACACTTCCCACGGTATGGTATCTGCGAATCCGCTAGAACACATGCACCAACGTGGGTGCCATCAATGACGCCAACACAATTCTTCAAAGAAAAAGAAAAAACACATGAATGACATTGAAATTAATATTTTATTACAACATATATTGCAAATTATGTCACTTATCTTAAAAAAATGGTAATATCTTAGGTTGAAGCGAATCTGAGGTTGAACCATACTAAAATCGGGAGGACTGATGATATCAACTCCAAGCCTACAGAACATGATTAAAGTATTTGGAAATGGTCTCCCCCAAATGCTGAAACCTTTCAGCTACTATGTGATTTCGCTCATTACGTGATATTGTAAGTAAAAATATAGCAACTTGTTCTTGCATGGTTACAAACCTGGAGTGTTCCAACCCTTTTTCTTTTAATGTCTCACACAACAACACGAACACGGGTGTGTCCATTCTAAATTGGTCATAGCACCTACTTTCATGTCCATGTAATAGCTCCAATACATAATCATGTCCTTTAAGAGCATACGTTCTACATGGTCGTTGTAATGTATTGTGACTATCTAATTATATTGCAATCAATACAATATACTTATCATCATCACTATCTAATATTATATCAAATTCTTCATCTGAATTCATTATTGAATATTCAAGTCTACCTGTAATATCCATACATAATGCGCTTATCAAACATTTTATCACAACACATTATAAATACGCATAATAATTAAACTTCAATCCAAAAACACGCATAATACCAAAGTCCACATACTCCAAATCCTACACATAATACCAATGTACACATAATATAAAAGTACAGATAATAACAAAGTCCACATACTCCAAATCCTACACATAATACAAAAGTACACATCCAAAAATGATAGGCTTAAGTGCAATTATCACAGGTTAGTAACAAAATCCTTCTTCCTATAATCTGGCATATATAAGAACATCTTCCTATAGCTCATATCATCTCCAAAAATCTTAATAGCCTTTGTGTATGAAGCTGCATCAATGTCCTCGAGAGAATTCAAAGCAGCCACATATTTTTCTAACAGATCATCAGTATGCGTAACAACCTCACTATCACCACATGAAGTCGTCGCCATAGACGCACTGGACATCTTATAGTCAATATACTCTGACTTTTTCTTTGAACTCTCAACCAACACATTAAGAGCAGATGTAAGTGCTAGGTTGTAGTTATTTTTCTTCCTACGACGATTGCTTGTTGGCGTGGTACTTCGAGGATGGTTATTTGTCCCTTTCTCCACATTTCCCTCACCATCATCAACCTCAAGTGACAGTTCCGATAGAGGTTGGGTGGATGGATAAGCATTATCACCGGTTGTAGTTGTCTTTTCATAAATCCTACACAGCTTCTCGTAATGTGGACACCTTTTTTTCCTGAATTGTCTTGCATGCTTATTAACCTATATTAAACCAAAATAATATAAGGTATTCAATACATATTAACCTAAAACTATTTGACATTATGGTTAAAAAAAATATGGATAGTAATCAATACTACATCCTACCTTGCACAAATCTTTCCAAGTCTCATCATCCAAGACAATGGTTTTCTTCATGGGGTCCCAATCAACTCCAATTTGATTCAACAATTTCTTGAAGGCATGGTAAATTGGTCTCAAATTATTAAACTTTCTCCGTAGTTGTTCATACATGTAGTTGTATCCCGGGCTTAATGTCATGTTTCTTACGAGATTTTTCCACCCAACTTTGGTAAAAGTAGTATTTGGTCTATGCCCCACTGCTACTTCCCTATCCATCAAGTCAATGAAAATTGTCTCCTTATCGGACGTCCATATGGCTACATTTTTGTCATTGTTAACCTCTACAACCTCATCATCGTAAATTTGTTCATTACTCGTTTCCATCTACAATAATTTTGTCAGTTATATTAACAACTTCCCAACCACTACACATAACCATACTAATAATTCACAAATGCAACATGAATCAAGGTGTACAAGTAAACAAATCCAAGTTAACATCAAATCCAAGTGATGCATTGATAGACAAAAGAAAAGGTGAAAAGAATAAATGGTGCAACTATTGATTTGAGTTCTTATAGAGGTACATTACTATTATCATCTATGGCACCAAGTATTTTTTAAGTGAGTTCTTATAGTGTTTTTGAAAATTTGTTTGACAGGCATAAGCTTCGGTATTGGAATGGAAACTCTATACTTGATGCAAAGACAAGGGAACCAATACCTAAGGATGACTAATTTTGGCTCAAGGACAATTGGTAGTATGGAAATCAATCAACCAATTCCTGAGGATGACTAATTTTAGCTAGTACCTCGTACCCTACGAAATCTATTTAGTTGTTTTCTTCACTTTTCCAATGTACCAAAAAAAAAATCATAACTATTCTACTTCCAAGGTGCAAACAACAATACACACTAATTAAATTACATATGCATCATTGAAAGAAAATCAGAGTGAGATCGATAAACCAATTAAGAAAACAACATCCTACTTTGACTACCAGTGGCATATACTTAATTTATCTTGATTATTAGAGAAAAAGTGCTACTTTCATTCTTGTTTTTTACTGTTGTGGCTTCCTTGGTTAAATGCATAAAAAATAACATTACATAGGATAATGTTAAATCAATATAACTAGTCCAGCCTCCACCCAGACATCAATTGCACATGGAGAGCTAATTAAGATGTACATCAATGTCCTCGACAAATTTGGGAGTCAAAAGCTTTTTTTTTGGTATGATAAAACATAGCTAAAATAGGGGTCAATCCCACTAAATCTACAACTTGTCACAATACTCTTAGCCTACTTTCAAATGGATACATTCGTCTTTCACTTATGAAAAAGGAATGATTATTCACGAATGAGATGCACAAAAAATAACACAGATACAAAGTACGCAAAAGCATTCATCTTTCGCCATAAACTCACAAATTTAATTTATGAACCAAAATTGATTTAGGTTGGCAGTACACCAATGTCACTCTATCTTCAATTTTTTATTTTTTTTGTTCATTCTTGCATATCAAGAGTGTTCAACCTGTGACTAATTTTGAGCATTAATAGACATGATTTTGAAATTGTTAACGAAAATGTAAATTTATTTGAATAACTATTACAACCACCTACCTAACTCACATAGAACCAAAATAATCAAAGCACAAAACCGCGGTCTGCCATCAAAACAAACATGAATGTGCTCTGTAAAACCCTAATGATAAATCAATAATGAAATCTACATACAAATGTAACATATCTATGTATATTGTGGTGAAAAAAATACAAATAAAACAAAAAAATACGATTATGATCTGTGATGTACAAATCTAAGTAGATCTAAGCATATATATACATATATCAGATTGATTAAAGGGGTTACACTTACCTTCTTCCTCTTCTTCTTCGTCTATGACCCTTATTCGTCTTCGTTTTCACCTATCGATCTGAGTCTTCTTCATCTTCGTCGATCTGTGAGTGGAAGAAAAAGAGTTACCGAGAGACCTCCGAAGAAGAGAGATTGTTGAGAGAGGGAAGAGGAGAGAGAGTTATTGTTCTTACCTTTAAAGAAGAGAGAGAGTGGTTGAAACAATAGGGGCTGCGAAGGACTGATCTGTGAGGATGAAAATGACAAAATACCTCATATTTATTCTCTTATATGAAGTGGGATTTTGTGGCTAACAAAACTCGAATGTGAGACCTCATTTAAATTGAAAACGAGTGTTTCCTGGAATAAAAAATTTTTGTTCTCATTTTTTTGACTTTGTCTCCAAAATAATTAATATAAAACAAAAACAAAAGCCGTACCCAAACATGTTTTTGTTTTTATTTTTGACAAAAATTGAAAACAAAAACACAAAATCCAAGGCAAAAACAATTACCAAATAACCCCTTAGTAAATAAGATATTATTATTTTTTTATTAAATAATTACACCACATTAACATTAATATTTATTCCCAAATTACCCATCCATCCTTCCTTGTGGTGACATGGCATATTCTATACGTCGTTAATAAAGAGGCGCGCCAATTGGTACAATGGCAGTTGGAAAATCACGTGTGTATTTGTACGACAGAAATTCAGGAAATGATCAACTTTCCCTTTTTTGCCCAAAGTCCTTTGTTTATTCCATCGTTCTTTCTTCACTCTCTAGATTTCTTTTCTATGAAGGTAAGATCTTCTCATGAATATACTTTATCTCTCTCTCTCTGCTTTTCCATCTTTCAGTTTTGATTACCTGGGGTTTTTGTTTTCTTATCTTCCATGTATTATTATTTGGTTTGGCTTAGCTGATTGTCACTCTGAATAAAGAATCGATGTCTGAGTCTTCTGAATCTTTTGTGGAAATGGGTCGGAAGAAGAAGATCAAGAGGTTTTTGATATTCAGAGGTTCATTACTTTTTCCTTATCTTGTTTATTTTCTGGGCTTATCTGATGCGTTAATTATTGTGTAATTAGTGTTGAAGTTTTGATTACTTGGTTGATTAAAGTGGGTTTTTGATGATGATACCCGTTTTCTGACTCTGCAGAATCCAGTCAAAAACCAACACTTCCTTCACATTGGTTATCATTATTGCTTCATTGGTAGAATTGTTGAAAAAATTACTGTTTTTGTGGGTTAGTTTTTGAGGAATCATGTGAAGCTTGAAAAATATTAACTAATTACTATTTAGTTGGGGTGACTTGTAGGAAGTTTCTGTGATTTTATGGTGGATTCAGTAGTTTGTAGGATTGCTTATGATTTTGGAAACTTAAAAAAATTGATTTGTTGGATTGTATGATGGAGGCCTTGGGAAAGAAGAGGAAGGGAGTGGAGACTCTGGGAACATGCAAAAAGAATTTGATTCCATTGACAGCCGTTGTGTCACATTTGTCATTGGAATATTGCTTAAGGCGAAAAAAGAAATGTAAGGAAACAGTGGTAACAGCAAATATTGGTTCTAGTAGAAGTCTAGTTGCTGGAGTTGTTACTGGTCCACCTAGTGGTAGTGCCTGTATAGATACACCTGGGAGAGGCCTTAAGAGGAAAATTGGGTGTATTGATGCAGCAACTCGAATGGGTAGGAAGAAGAAGATTGAACAAGAATATGACTTGGGTGCAGTTATTGGACAGGGGAAATTTGGGTCAGTGGTGTTGTGTAGGAGCAAAGCTAGTGGAGAAGAGTGTGCATGCAAGATGCTGCAGAAGGGGGAGGAGATTGTGCATCGGGAGGTGGAGATAATGCAGCATCTTTCTGGCCATCCGGGCATAGTGACATTAAAGGGGGTGTACGAGGATGCTGACTCTTTCCATCTTGTGATGGAGCTTTGCTCTGGGGGACGGTTACTTGACCACATGGCTAGGGAGGGGCGATATTCTGAGCAACGAGCTGCTAATTTACTTAAGGAATTGATGTTAGTCATCAGTTATTGCCATCAGATGGGTGTTGTTCACCGTGACATAAAGCCTGAGAACGTTCTGCTTACTACTTCTGGACAAATAAAGCTTGCAGACTTCGGGTTAGCTGTGAGAATTACCGATGGTAATTATATTTACCTTGCTGAATTCCCTTTTTTGAATGCTTTCTTTTTGGCTAGTACTGTTGAAAGGTCATTTGTTTTGGATAAGTACCACTAGATGTCCAATATAATCTACTATTGTTGTTTTTTTTCACTCACATACCCACAGAAAGGGTATTCCAAATTCTTTTATTACTGGAATTCTGTAGCTAAGAGATTTTCAATGGCTGCTCATGATATTCGTGATGTTGAAGTTGTTAAAGTGCTTGTAGCTAGATATTGCAGCGCAACTTTTTCATGCCTATGCTACATGGAGTATTTGTATCTTAGTGAGTCCATTCTTTAGATCTTTTTGGCAAATGACATCCTGTTGTGTTCATGGCTTTTCTGGTTTTTTGTTATAAGAGATTCTAAAAGCAGCTTCAAATTTCTCAATTCTCTTTTATTTTCTGAATTTTGGATGCCTTGTGTTTTTCTTGCTTGTTTAAGAAAATATTTTTGGTGACGTAGTTTGCCTGAAATTGCAACGAATGATTCTTGATGGGACCCATTTTACTCATTCAAGTAATCCTTCAATTTAACACAACTTTCCTTAACACCTGCAGAGAAATCTAATTTAAGCTGTAACTCTTAATTCTGAGCTCACGGTTGCCCATGTTTGCTGTTGCTGATTTTTAAAGCATCTATAATTATGGATTTATGTAACTATCTGGATTGCTAGGGACCTGCTTAAGAGGTACTTGACTCATTTATTTAACCAGCTTAAGAATTTCGAACGGAACCTTTTTTTCCAGGTTCATGTTATGAAAAACATATTCACGGTAGAAATTACATCAATCCAAGAACAACACTCAAACCAGGGGTTCTAAGTGTTCAAACTTTGTTCAAAGTCCTTAGATAACCTAGACACACCTAGAACAATTAAAGATGCTTTTGGCCTTACAACCATTTCAAACTGGGGACCTCTTCTTTTCCATCAAATGGATAATGTTTTGCACACTCCTTAATTATTACTCCATCAACAATTATTGTATTTTCAGCTTGTACGGTACCTTTATGTTTGCTATATGTTTCCTTGTGTACAACTATAAACTATAACGAACTTTGCAATGTCTGAAATTCTATCTTCATTAATACAGGCCAGAGCCTGACTGGTATAGTTGGAAGTCCTGCCTACATTGCGCCAGAAGTTTTGACAGGTGATTATTCAGAAAAAGTGGATATTTGGAGTGCCGGTATCCTCCTCTATGGACTGCTAGTAGGTGTGCTCCCATTTCATGGTGATTCTGTAGAAACTGTTTTTGATGCTATCAAGAAGGGGAGTCTTGATTTCAGTGGTCGAGAGTGGGAATCTGTATCACAATCTGCTTGTGATCTGATTGCTCGCATGCTGGCAAGGGATGTTTCAGTGAGGTTCAGTGCTGATGAAGTGCTAAGTGAGTTAACTCTGGGTGTCTTTATTTTATCATGTAGGCTTTGTTTTCATAAATAGACAACTAAATATATGAAATGCTTGATTCTCTTATTGATACTTGGATGCTGAGCTGAAGTGAAATATGTCAGATCTCCAACATATGTTGGAAGTTACAATTGAAACTAGATACGAACTCCAGTTGCACTCATCATTTTTTTTAGGCATTGCATAGTTTATACACATACTTGGTAATGGTTTTGAAATTTGTACCAATCAAAATGAGGTCAGGGCTGCCAGGGCCGGTTCTTCTGTTAGCACAACCAGTTGAAAATCGTACAATGCAGTTGATATGTTTTCCAGTCAAGTATTAAAGCATGAGACTTCAAAACCATGTAATAATTGATAAAATGTGCAAGTGTTCTGTCGTGTTCAACTTCCTTTGGTGTATTGGGTCTGTTGGATTGTATTTCATTCCCAGAGGCTGTCATTGCCTAGAGGAATGTCCCGGTTCTGCTGCAACTTATTCAAGTGGCTGTTGTCCACTCCTAGTTTTAGATCAAATAGAGTAATTGTGAAATGACTTCCTCATGTATCCAAGTTCTAGGACTACTTTGTTTGAATAGCTGTGTTTACATTTAAGCAAGCCTCAATCTTAGTCCTATTCACCATGGTACTAGATGGAGCCTTGGTTTCATTTCTTGATTCATGCATTTATGTTCATATAATAACAACTATAGACATCAAATATTGATGTGCTCTTAAATTCATATTTGTTAGACACGTGGAACTGCTATTATTCTCTCTTCTTTCCTTTATATGGTAAAGTTTGTGTCTTTTCAGGGCATCCCTGGATTTTGTTCTACACAGAACACACTTCGATGACACTATTTTCCCAGGCAAAAATGAAAAACCATGTAAAATTGACTTCACGACAGCTGACCGTTGGCCCTGGGATGGAGTCGGAGAGAAACAAGATAACAGCCAGCATCTCTCTCAATGATGACTCTGGTCTAATTTTATCATCCAGTAGTTCCACTAAGATGCTTGAAGGTGAAGACAGTGGCTTGGTGGATGTCCTTGCTGCGGCGATTTCACGTGTCAGGATCTCCGAGCCAAAGAGAAGTAGGTTATGCAGTCCCGTCAGGATCCAACAGGATTGCTCCTCTAACATAAAGGTTAACAGCCTCTGTACAGCATTTTGACTCTCAAATGTAACCAGCTGAAGCATCTGGAACACTCTTACAGCTATAGGTTATAGCTTGAGTTGAAGATGGCTTACACTAACAGGAGCTTTCCTAGACAGCAAATGCAGAAGACTTGACAAACCAGAAGGCATGATGGATTAACTCTTTGACGGTGACAAATAAGTTCTTTTCTTTTGCTGCCAGAATTATGAAATAATAGTTGGCGGCTTATGTGGGTATCCTGTGTTGTACATGTTGACAACTTGTGAGAACTGGTTTTGGAGATCTCATGTAAACAAAATGTGTGCTTTTAAGTGTTCTGTTCTGTTAAGCTATTGATATGAAGTGTGTTATTGGCAGATGGTTATGGACTGGTTTTCTCTTGCCGTTTCTTAAGACATTTACAGACCGGTATGATGTTGCATGGTGTAGAGGTTGCTTTTTCTAATTTCTCATCTTCCATATTTGTTGCAGGGTTTGAAGTTTAGGCCGATGCTTCTGCTCAGGAGGTGAAAGGTAAAGACAGTATAGAAAGTAGAATAATAATTCAATCTTGTTTACAGCACTGGTGTTGCTTTTGCATTCTATATTATGGATTGATGACAGTGACACATTGGAATTGATGGGACATTTTCGGAATATTCCAAGATGAAGACACGTGTCATCGGTGTCATTGATCCTTGTTATCGAGATCACGTACCCATCGGGTCACAAGTCCCCTCTATCCCGAGGTACTTATCATGGGATTGAGTGGCATCCAGTACGTTTTTATGTACCGACACGTACCCTCGGTCTGATATGGTACATTGGTCGCTAGGCCTCCCCCTCTCGGATTCAAGATGTACCTATTCCTCGGTTTTCGAGATGTACGTCTTCCTTGGCTCCGAGATGTACCTCTTCCTCGATTCCGAGATGTACCTCTTCCTCGGTTCTGAGATGTACCCCTCTCATCCATGATGAAGTTTTCTGCTCCAGCAGAGGTTATTGATGCATTGATCACTAGCCTAGGCTAGGTTAGGTTAGCTATCATGATCTTGTCTTACACAATTGGTGTCAAAAGGCACAGGAAGGCAGGGGCCACAGTCAATGAGGAATGGATGCGTGACATATTGTGTCACATCAGAAACAGAAAGACCACATGACCTTGCTGACACGCGACTTGGGAAAACAAGCATTTAATTATATCATTCCTTTGATGAGACTGTATTCAATGCGGTAAGGCTCAGAAGTGAAAGGCAATAAATGTCTCTAAGACTGGGTATTTATTGCATCCTCCCGGAGAGGAGCTCATTGAATCGTCGGCAGGCCGATGACACAGACTTAATTGCTCGGGGTCCCGAGCAGTTAAGAGAGAAAACATTCCTCATAGGAATCAGTGCGCACGTTGCCTGTATCTAATGATCACCTACTGACCACACTGACAACAATCATTAGTATTTGAGGTATAAATACTTCTCACTAAAGGCAAGAACAAGAGGTGAAACTTTTGCTACAAATTATACTCAGTGTTTTCTTCTTCCTCTCTCTCAAAAATTGACTTGATCGTTGGAGGGGATACGCCGAAAAACACTCCGGCACCCTTCTAACTTGTTCTTCTTTGTTCCAGGAACCTTTCTTCAGCCTTACTGGATCGTTCCTTTGATCCGCGAGGGTCTCCCATTACCGTTCCAGGTTACCACCGGATCTCACAAGCTGTTTCAAGTAGCGTGGTTGACCACTTAACTGACTCACTCGAGTTCACCAAAGGAGAGATCTGTTCTCGTTTTTATATTGTGCAAGATCTAGCACGCACAATCTGGCGCTGTCTGTGGGAAACGACTAATTTTCCTAGTTTTTTCTCTATAAAGAATAGTGACCATGGTGAACACTCGACAAAAAGGGAAAGATCCCCACCAAAGAAGTCTCGAATTACAAGCTCTCTGTCACCACGGAGGAAGGGATCACACTGATGGGAATAAAAATGCCTCTACTCAGTCAAGAGGGATTACCCCTCAAACCAGTATGGGAATCAGGTCAGGAGGATCAGCCCCCCTGGCTCGTCAGCTGGCGGAGGTGATCGAAGAAAAGTTTGGCGATAGATTACGACAGCTGGAAAAGGACAATGTAAACGTCCTAAGTCGGCTCAACGAATTTGCCGCCTCCGGCGAAGGGTCGAGGGACTCATTCCTCTCTCGTGGGCTCCCCGCCCGAGAGGCGAAAACGAAAGATCTAAGGAATCATCTAAACAACAAGGCAGAAAGCTCCAGGGCCCCAAAGCGACCGAGAGCCAATGAGCACCCTCCTAACGACTATTCAAGGAAGGCAAGACCATTAGCCCTGGATGACCTCCGACGAGGATTGTCTAGACAGAGGAAGGGAGATGAGTCCGAGGAGAATTCTACCCTATCCACACGGCGCCCAGGAAATGGGGGGCCTATTGATGAACTCAAAGACTTCAGAAGACGTCCCGTCAGGGAAAAAATTGATCTCAGAGCCCGGTTGGAATCCAGGAGAAAGAGTAAAGTTGTCCAGGATGAGGTCGAAGACGAGGTCATACAAACACCCTTTACCAGGGAGATCGGAGAGATGGAGGTTTCAAGAAAGTTTGTCATGCCGAGGTTCAAAACTTATAACGGGCGGTCCGATCCTGAAGCCCATCTCAGGCAATACAAGCAGATGATGTCCCTCTATCATTCGGACCAACGGTTCCTTTGCTGAGTGTTTCCTATGAGCTTGGGGGACTCTACGATGAAGTGGTTCGAGGCGCTTCCCCCCAACAGTATTGGATCGTGGAAGGAATTGACGAGGCAGTTCTTGGCTCGATTCATTACGGGGAGTAAGCGGCCCAAAGACGTTGGATCATTGCTAACGCTCAGACGTAGGGAATCCGAGATCCTTCGCCAGTATGTCATCCGATACTGGGAAGAGGTAAATGAGGTAGAAGGCTGCTCGGAAGTCATGGCAGCGGCGTCTTTCAGGCTCGGCTTGGCGAGGGACACGGACCTGTACCGATCCCTGACCAAGAAGACTCCCTCGGATATGGGCGAGCTGATGGCCCGGATAAACAAGTACTCAAGGATCGAGGACGAAATGGGAAGCAGCAAAGGCCGAACCCTCCAATCTAAGAGAAAAGAAAGGGAGCAGGAGGATACTCCCCGAAAGGGATTGCTACCCCCTCCAGGGGGTTCGTCCAAAGTGGTTCATACTATGTTCAAGGAACCCATCTTCAAGTTGCTCCATAAAATCAAGCATGAGCCGTTCTTCAAGTGGTCGCCCAGGATGCAGAGCGATCCCTCCACCCGTGATCAAAAGGTTAGGTGTTCCTATCACCGGGATTTCGGACATCGCACCGAAAGCTGCAGGGTATACAAATTGTTCTTGGAAAAATTGGTCCGAGACGGATACTTGAAAGAATACATAGAGCCCAGGCCAAAAGAGAGACACATCATTGCCCCGACCGAGGAGCCGGACAACGTCATAGATGTCATCCATGTATGTCCCCTCGATCGCCCCACGTCCAAGGAACTCGAGTCCGATCTCAAGAGGGTAGCTTTTACAAGGAAGGTAGCCGAGGATGATGGAGGGCCACCCAGTAAAAAGGTCAAGGCTGGTGAGCCCAGCATCACGTTCTCCGACGTGGACTTGACAGGCGTAGTGACTCCTCATAACGACGCCCTTGTCTTGACCCTGAAGATAGGAAAATTCGACGTCAAAAGGGTGTTGATAGACTCTGGAAGTTCCTCGGAAGTGATGTACTCCGAGACTTTAAAACGGATGGGTCTTGGCCTCAAGGACCTCACCAAGGTCAGGACACCCCTCATCGAATTCAATGGCTCGTTCACCCTGCCCGTAGGCAAAATCACATTGCCAGTTGTCACGGGTCCCTTCGTCATCAACACCGAGTTTGTCATAATTGATACGGACTCTCCCTACAACGTGATCATGGGGTGAACATGGCTGCATGCGTTGAGAGCGGTGCACTCCACTTACCACCAGAAACGGAAATTTGCCACGTCAGAAGGTATCATGGAGATCCGGGGGGACCAAACGTCCACAAAAAATTTTTTTATTCAGCTGTTAGAGTCGGGGCGTTCACCCAAGAAAAGGGGCGAGCCCCGGAAGAGATCATGGAGAAATAGCAATCACAGTTCGGGCGTCCAAGAATGGATGACCCCCGGATAGACCCAATTGAGCGGTCGGTGGAGGACCTCCGGAAGGTGCCATTGGTGGAAAGAGAAGAAGAAAGATATTTCTTAGTTGGGACCGCGATGCCTGCAGCCGAACAGGAGGAGCTGATTGAGTTCCTAAGGAGAAATGCAGACATGTTCGCTTGTAACGCAATGGAAATGACGGGGGTAGACCCCGAGATAATCACGCACAAGCTGCATGTTGACCCGGCGCACAAGCTAGTCAAACAGAAGCCACGACGCATGGCCCCGCATCACGCCTACGCGGTCAACGAAGAAATCGACAAACTCCTGAAGGCCAACGCCATTCGAGAGATACAGTTCCCAGAATGGCTGTCTAACACAGTTTGCGCGAAGAAGAAGGGGGGAAATGGCGTGTCTGCGTAGACTTCACAGATCTAAATAAGGCATGTCCCAAGGATGACTACTCCCTACCAAAGGTGGACCAGCTAGTGGACGCCACTGCCGGATATGAACGCATGGACTTCCTGGATGCCCGAGCAGGATATCACCAGATCCCTCTCCATCCCCCAGATCAGGAAAAAACGGCGTTTATCACTCCGAATGGAGTTTACTGTTACAAAGTGATGTCATTTAGACTAAAGAACGCCGGGACGACATACCAAAGACTGATGAATCGGATGTTCAAAAAGCAGATCGGCAACACCATGGAGGTCTACATTGACGATATGCTGGTGAAGAGCAAACGAAGTTGTGATCATCTGGCAGATACCTTCTCCACCCTCAGGGAGTACGGACTGAAACTGAACGCGACAAAGTGCGTTTTTGGAGTGGAATCGGGTAAATTTCTCAGATATCTGGTCAGCCAACGAGGAATCGAAGCTAACCCGGATCAGATTCAAGCAATCCTGGACATCTGGAGCCCCCGAACTGTCGAGAAGTCCAAAAGCTCACGGGGATGCTGGCAGCACTTAACCGTTTTGTCTCACGCTCCTCAGACAAATGCAAACCCTTTTTCGGAGCAATCAAGAGTGCTGGGAAGGATATGTGGAGCCAGGGGTGCAAAGATGCCCTGGCTGGAATCAAGGAATACCTAAGGACTCATGCCCCCGAAGCAAACACAGGAGCAAGCCTCCTGAAAGGGCAAGGCCCTGGGGGCAGAGTTCAAGGACTCCTGCCCCCGAAGCAAACACAAGAGCAATCCTCTTGGAAGGACAAGGCCCTGGGGGCAGAGTTCAAGGACTCCTGCCCCCGAAGCAAACACAAG